TGTTGTTGCAGAAACTGATCTGCCCTCTGATATTGCAAAACTCAGTATGAGTATTGTTATACTTACAATGATTTGCATATGATTTAAACCAGTATAGAGTGGAACTCTAAGCCATCTGGTGAGTTGTGATTTGTGGTTTACTATTTGAGCTTCCTTGACCTTGTGGCACAGATCTGAATATTGAGCCCAAAACAGGGAACTATTTCCCAACCATATTCTTCAATGAGTTTTGGCTACTCAAAGATAAGTTGATACCGATCAATGAGACAGTGACTGAACTTCCATTACATTTGGAGGTGGCTCCTATGAGCATGACCAAGTGGCAGCTATTCCTGCAGATCGACGAGTCATTTCAGATTCATCGCTCTTATGGAAGTATGCTTGAAGGCGAGGCTGATGAGCTTAAGGTGTGTTTATTGTGAAGCCCTATTAATATGCTTTTCTGAGGTATTTGTTGGGGAATGTTAAGATGCCGCTAGGCAAATATGGTATATAAATTTTGGGAGTTTCTATGAATCATTTAGTTGTATGAATTTATTATCATATGATGGTTTATGATTTCAGGAATATTGACAAATAATTTGGTTATTTCCAACAGTGTTGCCATGTTGAAATATTTTAGTAGGCTATTAGGTAGCTTATCTGGGGTGTTGACCTGCAAAGTGAACTTAGTAGATTATCTTTTCCAACTTGTTGATGTGTTTTTTATGTGAAGCAGATGCTGGAGCTACTGATTTAGTAAATGAGCTCTGTATAAACTATGGTCATGAATTTTAAGAACTTACAAAGAATTTTGACAACCTAGCTTCATGCTTGGAAGTTTTATAGCTCAACCAGCTGACACTTTCATTTTATTTATGTATTAATATTTTTAAGCATATATGTATAGATTGCAAAATGTTTATATAAGTATCATAATATTTTTATTTCTTTTTTTTTTGTAACAGTTTTGTAAGGTTGTTTAAAATAAATAATTGAAACTGTGCCATGTCTCCATTTCTGCAATTATGTTCTTTTGTAACCCTAGTCCCATGTTTTCCAGTCTGTCTATTTGCTCTTCTGATGGTGAGTCCAGAACAGAGGGGTCCCGGATTTGTTTTCTTCTCTACTTTGTTGATTATATTTCCCAATTGCGTTGATTGCCTAGTGTTCTACCACATTACAGTTTATTTGCTAGAAAATCTTCATAAAGGTCTTTTTCATTTATCAGTTTATAAGATCCCTGTTTTTTTGTTTTTTTTTTTTTGCATCTTGGTGTTGTTCCTCATCACAGTGTATTTTTTTAATTTTCTTTGCAGAGGGTATTCTTGGAAGGGAATCCTTACCTTCTTGCAATCACAATGACAGTTTCACTTTTTCATTCTTTGTTTGACTTTCTGGCCTTCAAGAATGGTGAGTTACAGTTTTAAGTTGCTTTGGTGGAATGTTGTTTCCTGTTCTTATATATCTAACTCTATTTTTGTGTTGACACTCATCAGATATTCAATTCTGGAACAAGAACAAGTCAATGGAGGGGTTATCTGCTAAGTCAGTTGTTGTCAGCTTTATCTCTCAGTTGATTGTTTTCCTCTATCTCCTGGATAATGATACTTCATGGATGATTCTTGTGAGCTCTGGAATCGGTTGCTGCATTGAATTTTGGAAAATAGGGAAAGCGATGCACATAGAGGTATGATATCTGGTTGTAATTCTTGGGTAGCCTCTTTTTGTTTGTTGGAGAGCTATATTCATGCTACATCCTTTACTTGTCTATCCTTCATTTGGCCCTGCAAATACGTGCCACTTTACTTGTTAAAATTAGACTTTTGACTAATTTTTTTATTAGAAGATTTTAAAATCATGTTGGTAGATGGAGTATGAAGTTATAAACTTTGAAGCCAAATTTCCTTCATTTATCTTGAATAGAGGAGCTTTATTTTGGACTGCCTTGATTTATATGTAGTAGGGATAAATCTGCATTTCTTTTTTAATGAAGTTTTGGTGAGTAGAAATTCAGACTCATATCAATTGACTTGGCTCACAATATCTTTATGTCCTTTTTTCAGTTGGATAGATCTGGCAGGATTCCTTTACTAAGGTTTAAAGATCGGGATTCCTATAAAATGAACAAGACAAAGGAGTATGACGACATTGCGATGAAATATCTCTCATATCTCTTGTTCTTCCTTGTTGTGTGCTCCTCCATTTACTCTTTGAAGTATGAACGCCACAAAAGTTGGTACTCATGGATTCTTTCTTCAATGACACAATGTGTATATATGTTTGGTAAGTGTTCACTCGTTTTTTGTTTCTTGTACGTATCCTGAATTTGAAATTTTGATATGACAATTGAAGATCGAAGCTTTTTATCGTTCTTTTATACTTTCTTCCGTCATCTTTTAATCGCAACTTTGGACTCTCATGGTTTCCAAGGCATGACTTTGACCTTTTTAATATCTTGAGCAACATATTAGTTTAGAAATTTTTGGTTGATAAAACTGGTTTAAAAGTGTGGATGAGAATATGATATGTGTTTCATAGGATTGTTCTTTTGATTTTGGAGGTTGCTAACTAATAAAGCAATTACCCTAATAGTTTCTACTAATATCTGAGTGTTCACAGATGTGTGTTATTAGCATTTTATGGCTGGGTGTTGTTTGTGCTTCATAAGCAGCTGGATATAGTTTATATGAGTACTTAGTCTTTAGCATGTAGCACGATTTTGTAGGAAGGATGTTTCTTTTGGAAATCTAGTGTTTTTTGGGTCATAAAAGAAACAATCTTTTTTCTTCATGATGCATTTTCGACTGTGTTATGTTCTTTTTCAGATTGGGTACTTGTTTATTATGTCTCTCTTATCAGACAGTATTTGATATGCTCCCTTCTTTGTAGGCTTCATTATGATGTGTCCCCAGTTGTTTATTAACTACAAGCTGAAGTCTGTGGCTCACATGCCCTGGCGCCAAATGACATACAAGTTCTTGAACACCATTATTGACGATCTCTTTGCCTTTGTCATCAAGATGCCCACACTTCATCGGCTTTCAGTTTTCCGTGATGGTAAGACTAATTTAAAACTCCTGAACACTTTCATTGCGCTTGATACTGAATTTTCCCTTAAAACAAAATTTGGGAGTTCTTGATCATATCTGCCGCTTCTTGGGGTGGGGTGGGGGGGATTTGTGAAACAGTATGTTTGGTTGTGGTTAATTTCATGTTACTATTTTGTGATTAGGGTTGATTATAACTTTGCTTTGTATCTGCAGATATCATATTTTTGATATATGTTTATCAAAGATGGGTTTACCCAGTTGACAAAAAGAGGGTGAATGAATTCGGTTTTGGTGGTGAGGATGATAGCCAGTCTACCGAGGCCATTGAATCAACTAAAAAGGATGAGGGTCAATCTTCTGAGGCCATTGAAGCAACAAACGAGGCCGATAAGAAAACCAACTGATCACTGTTTTTAGTTTTGTTCCCACACCAACATTTTTTTTTTCCAGCTGTAAAGTGTCAATTAGTAAGAATTATTGTCACTTCATTAATTTTTTTCAACAATTTTGCTTTATTTACTGCTAATGTTGTTTCATTAATTATAATCAGTTTTCATAATTAGAAATAGCACAAGGATAGATTGTTCTCTCGCTTAGGAAGCAAGGAGATGAGCTACTGTAATTCTAGTGACTTTAATCAATTGCTTTTGACACTAATGAGAATTTTGATTGCATAAGAAGGGCATTGATGCCTTTACCTTTTACGGAGTAATTATTTTTCGAGTACTTCTGATGATTTATCCATATTTCGAGTCGTTAAGGTATGGATTTCCAAATTTAGTCAAGAAGAATTGCAGCAATTTCTTTCTCACCTTCGAAATGATTAGTACTTTGCGTATGATTCTTTGATCTTCATAGGTTTATTATTGCTGAATTATGTATGTTCATTAAAGACTTTTTTATTCTTATTGCCGAAATTTGATAAATTATCAAAATGTGTAATCTCAGCATTTTTTAACCATTCAACTGTTTCAATTTACTATGTTCTATCTGTTGAATAAATAAAAATTCATATGTTTCAATGTAGCAAGGTATTACTTGTTATAATTAATTTTGTTGGTTGGCCAGTTGATCAAAATATATTCATGGAATTGGGTGGATTGGTATGAGTCCAAAATTCTTTTGATTAGTACTTGGGGTATGTTCTGACTGACTAAATTGAGCTGAATTGAATTGAATTTATTAGAGTTGAGCTGAACTGAACTGAACTTATTAAAACAGAACTGAAATGAACTGAATATTTTATAAGAGAAGGAAATTAGGAGCTGAACGAAACTGAATATATTAGAGCTAAATTGAACTGATCTATTAGAGCTTAACTGAAATGTAAATAATCGTATCAGAAAAGGCCTATAGAATTACTTTGCGACAAAAATGAAATTACTCGGTATATGGCTAGATATACACATTTGTTTTTATAAAGGTCATAATCATGAGTCTATAAGATCCCGCTCTCTTACGCAACTACTCTCATTTCACTCTTTAACACAAATATCATGGGATAAAAAACCTTACTCGTCTCTCATCAATCAAAACTAGATATACTATTTACGTATCAATAAGATTGTGAATTGTGATTACTCAAAAAAGAAAATTGTTATACATAGCCCTTAGGGCTATATATAAGAATTAAATTTATACTTGAAAATCATAAAAAGTATAAAAATCATCAAAATATAAACACTAATAACACTGATTTACGCGTGTTTTTGTCATGAATACCTAAATTTTATACAATTTCCAAGAGTATATTTAATGCTTATATATAACCCTTAGGGCTATATATAAAATTACCCCTCAAAAAATTAATATTACTTTTCATAAATAAAATTAATTTCAAAAAATTCTATCAAATTTAATGAAATTTTGGAATTCGAAAGTGATGGATAGTTCAAGTGGTTAGAGCTCCCCTTTCGGTTTAGGTGATTCTGTGATTGAAAAAATGGAATTCGAGCCCACAATTAAGACAATTTTACCCTTAAAAAATTATGGTTTCTTCACTTTCTTCGTCTTCAGTCACTTCACTTCTCCATATTTTCCAAGTTTCCAGTTCTCACTCACTCTAATCCTCGCTCCAAACACTTCCTCTCACCTCTCGCCGGCGCATTATCGGCGAATTTTCTCCGGCGAACTCTCTTCGCTGCTGCATTTCGTTCCGATCGTCGGAAAACTTGAAGGTGACGCAATATTCTGACGTTTCTTTCTCTCTTTCTTCCTTTAATCTGGTTCTTGATGATGTTGTTTTTGAATTATTTTGCTGAATTTTTGTGTTTATTTTTGATGTATTGATTGATTAATCCCAGTCAATTGTCAATATGCTTGTTCATGGTATTCACGTCTATTTTGACTTTCATATGAAGTTGTTTGTCAAATATTTGGCTATTAACTGATTTGCATTGTTTATGTTAAAATTATCTGGGTTTCTTGTTGTGCTCTTGATTATTGATTAGTGTATAAATTGCTGATCCTATGATAGTTTGATGAGTTTGTAATGTAGAAGTAGTGGATTCATTATTGAATACTGATTGATTTATGATTGTTGAGGCTTACATTGTGTTTATAAACTTGTGTATAAATTGCTGATTGAGAATTGTTGGACAGTAAACTCAAGATGAGTTCAAGAAAGGGTGTTGATGACTCGAGCCATGCTGTTAAGAAATTTGGAAGGGGGAGACCATGGGTCCAACCAAACCCCCCACCAAAGGCATGGGGTCAGCCCGACACTGCTCATAGACTAGGCATACGTAGCTATAATGCCTCGAACGGGAATTGGTCTATGAAAGACGGATCGTCTCAACTGAAAGAGGAGGAGGAGGAGGAGGTTGATGAAAAAGAGAAGGAACATAATGATTCAGAGGATGATGAAGTGTACTCTGATGATGATGACTATCTTGTGAATGATGATTCTGATTCGGATGAAGGACCACCATCTCATGAGTCGATGAAGAACCATAAGATGTTGAAGGGGTTTTTTAAGAAAATTGATGCTCTGACAGTTGAGGAAATAAATAAGCCAGAACGGGAATGGCATTGTCCTGCATGCCATGATGGCCCTGGCGCCATCACTTGGTATAAGGGTCTCCAGCCTTTAATGGCGCATGCTAGGACAAAAGGCTCTCAAAGAGTCAAGCTCCATCGAACATTTGCAGATATATTGGATGAGGAGCTTCGGATAAGAGGAACTTCTGTGGTGCCTGCTGGAGAATCATATGCTCAGTGGGTGGGTTTGAAGCAAGAGGTGGAAGATCATGACATTGTCTGGCCTCCTATGGTTATGATCATGAACACATTGCTGGACACTGATGACAATGATATGGTATGCATTTATGTTTGTTATTTATACATTCGTTAATTGGTCTTGCAATTTCTATGTATATCAGAAACCTCACATATATTTACCATAATATGTACTGAAATCCCTTGTGGATCTGTAGGCTGCAGTTTTTTCAATTTGTTAATTTGTTGTTTTTTTTGTTCAGTGGATTGGTATGGGAAATCAAGAACTTCTAGACTACTGCAAGGGCTATGCAGCAGTAAAAGCTAAACACTCGTACGGCCCTAAGGGGCATCGTGGTATCAGCGTCCTGATATTTGAGAGCTCGGCTACAGGCTTTGATGAAGCAGAGAGACTTCACAGGCACTTCCAACGACAGGGAACTGGGAGAAGTGAATGGAATAACAGTAGAAAGGCTCTGTTTTGTGCTGGAGGAAAGCGCCAACTATATGGCTTTTTGGCTAGGAAGGATGATCTTGACGAATTTGATAAGCATTCTCAAGGTTTCTTTCTATCTCCTTTAATATGATATTTTGTTATAGCTGCGTATGCTGTACATCCACACTTGCAAATTATCCGTGCCATGCCATATATTATAGGCTTGACTTGAGTTCATGTGAACCTCTTTGTTTATCATATCCCAATCACTAGCATAATCTGCTTGGTGTATTTGTTAGGTTAGTTCACTTAACCTTATTTTTGCTGAACTATTACTGAAATGAAATTATTGTTGCTGAAGTGAAATTATATTTACAGATTCTTTGTTATATTTCTTCTTTAAAGCAACTGATTTTACTATGTTTTGGACTGGGAATGATAATGAACTTAAAGGGATTGTTGAAATTCAAGTCTACTTGGTTTTTTCCATATGGTATTATGTTTGGATATTGTCATTTCCTTGCAAATGTGGTTCAAGGGAAAATGTCCTGTTTGGAAATTTAAATCATTTGGAATTGGATTTAGTGAATCTTATGTACTTGTTAGAGAAGGCCATCTCTATAAATTTCCTGTTTTCTTTCCAAATAGTAGTCATTTCCAAGTTCCATGTCATCATGCTTCCACCATGTCCCTTTTCCTCAAAATCCTACCATTGATGGCCATTAAACCATGAATGTCAGACTTTTTCAATTGCTCATAAGTCATAACTTCATCAAAATTTCTGTCATTGCTTTCTCTATTAGCCTTTTCTCCTATTTTTTATTTTTTAAAATTTTCTGTGCTTTTGTCATTCCATCATCATTGAATATCAGTGGGTGTTTGCCATCCAACTCTGCTAATCCTCTCTTTCTCCGTTTTTTTCTTTCCGTTAAAGGGAAATAATAATTTATGTTCTTGTATTTTCTAACAGATGTTTAGGAATCGTATTTTCGAATTTAAATTTAAATAGCTGAAATGAAGCATTTGGAATGAATAATTGTTTCCCAAACACAACCTTAAATATGTATTTGATATGTACTTTTTCTGTTGAGATTAGGAAAAGCAAGACTGAAGTATGAGATTAGGTCATACCATGATATGGTAGTTGTTCCCAAGAAGCAGATGAGTGAGGATATTCAACAACTCACTTGGTTAAAGAAGAAATCTGCCCTCTATCAACGGGAAAATAAGGCAAAAGAGGAAATGATAAACATTCTTAGAGAGAAGTGTTTGAATTTCTTGAATGACTATCAGATCATGAGAGAGAGAATCAACGAACTGCATGGGGATAACAAAGAAGAGGTACTTCATTTTTATTTAATACGAAGTTGATACTTTGGTACCACAGTTATTATTAAAGGTTTACTGAAAATTAGTGAGCTTGTTTCATGATGGTGTCTCCTTATGTCCTTCTCTTTATGCTCTAACATGTCTGGACTGTCATACTTATGGTCATATGGACATGATTCAATTATCATCAAGGAAGCACTATAATTCCTTTTCTTTTTGCAGATGATTTTTCAGGAGCAGTTCTTTAATGATCAGATCCAGAAAATCCATGAAGCAACAAATGTGAAGGAGGACCAATTTGAAAAGCTTCAGGAGGAGCAGATGAAGATTGAAAATTTCGAGAAAGTACCCTCGATTATAGAGGATGGTAGGCACAGGTACTGATCTTACTCTAGGCTACTTCTGAGTATCATTTGCAATCTTGCTTTGCGCCACACAATTGATTATTAAGATAATACATGTGCAAACGTTATAATTATATTATTCTTTCCTCCATCAATTTTCCTGGCTATGATGTAATTTGGATCCTGTTTATCTTTATTGTATGTTTGCCTTTCTACAAAGTGTATCAACACACATATTGCAAAGATGTAGTAGCATACACTTTACAGCTTTCTTTTCCTTTTCCATTTCAGGGCTGAGGAAGAAACCAAGTTTAAGGAGATACCGAACCAAGAAGTTGAGAAGTATTTGATTGAGAGAGAGCAACTGAAACAGATTCACAATGGGAAGAATATTGAAATGGATAAGAGGTACAGGGAAGAGAAGCTGGAGCTGAAGAGGGAATATGACGCTGCTTTGACCGAGCTAAAGAACAAGTATGCTTCTCGGCCCACCGAAGATGATGTTGGTGCTGGCGCTGGTGCTATTGCATAACTTTGGTGTACTTGGGAATTATGTAGATACAGTTACAGAGGATGGAAGAAAAACATGTCAATTTAAGACTTAACAAGGTAGTTGTAAACTCGTAATAGATGTCTGAATTTTGTGTATAGAATGATGAACTGACCTAAAGATAGATGACATATAGTGACGGTGTAAATAGCCTAGGATGGCCAAAGTAATTTCGAAATACATGTTAGGACCAACTATGCAAGGGGAAACCATGTGTTCTAAAGGTAATGTTTCTTCTGGTTCCCTTGATCACTGTTAAACTTGGATTATTCCTATACTGCTATGCTCTATTTTGCAAGTTTCTTTCCTTTTTATGCTTCGACAACTTTTGTAGGTGATTTGAAGTGCGAAGGTAAGAATGTAGTCTGTGTTAACATTTGATGAAAGAGTGAGTATTTTATAGAAGTCATTATATGGCCTTAAAATGCCATTTGCTGGACTTTAGCAATTACTCCCTTTTCATGGATCAGAAATGCAACACATCAAGGAATTCAAGGATAATTGAGATGGAAATATTAGGACGAGTATGTCATTCATACAAATGATACATCATTAAATCATATAATTGTGCATGATTTTTTTTATTATTATTTTTTTTATTATTTTATTTCGTTTCAATAAAATTCAATATAATGTCATATTTTTGTACCCAACAATTAATAAAAAGGGAACAAAGAGAGAGTGAGGGATACCTCAAGTGGTTAGGGCTCTCCACTCAATCTTAGGAGATTGTTGGATCGATTTTCATGTATATAATTAGAGTAGATCAATGTGTTATGTTAAACAAAATTTGGGCCTATGCTGTGATTAGAGTATTTGTGTTTCAAGAGAAAAAATAAATGATGCGAATAACTTTTAAAATGTTTAATACTTATATTTTTCACTCCTAATTATGTAATTATCCTTAACATTTCAACAAAAATAATAAAAAAAATATATATAATCACTCTTAACATTCAATTTGCAAACACAATCGAACAAATAAATTTTCAACATTTACACCTACTGACCTACGTCACCTAGCCTACCGTCGGTATAAATTTCTAGATATTTTCTATTGAATTTAATTTTAGGGGCATGAGGATTACTATCGAATATACTTCCTAGGGGATAATATTGGTTACCGAAATATATTTCATGGGGGTGATGATAAATTTCCGGGATTGAAGAAAGGTGACTTGAATTAATTTTCGAGTGAAGTTAAAGGGTATTGGATTACTTTAGGGGGCAAAGGATACTGGATTCCTTTAGGGCTTAAATTAATTTTGTTGGTTGTCTTGTTGATCAAAATGTATTCATGGAATGGGGTGGAGTGGTATTAGGGCCTGTTCTCTTACGTTGAAATTCAGTTCAGTTTAGTTCAGTTCAGTTTAGTTCAGCTCCTAATTTCCTTCTCTTATAAAATATTCATTTCAGTTCAGTTCAGTTCAGTTTAGTTCAGTTCAGTTCAGTTCAGTTCAGTTCAGCTGAGTTTTGTCAATGAGAACAAGCCCTTTCTCTTACGTTGAAATCCAACTCAGTTCAATTCAGCTCCGTTCAGTTCAGTTCAGCTCCTAATTTCCTTCTCTTATAAAATAAATATTCATTTCAGTTCAGTTCAATTCAGCTTAGCTCAGCTCAGCTCAGTTCAGTTCAGCTGAGTTTAGTCAATGAGAACAGACTCTTAGTCCTAAATCATTCTAAAATTAATTAAACATACTTTGCGGCAAAAATGAAAAATTACTCGGTATATGGCTAGATTGCCTATATATACATGTTTGTTTTTATAAAGGTCAGAATTATGATCATGCTATAGTATTCCAATCTAATTTGTACACAAGTACATTTATATACCTTCTCAAAAACGGTACCCCTCTAATAGCATGGAATAAAGTCTGTAGACCTAAGAACTACGACCTAGGTTTAAGGCGAACCCTTCCCTTAAATAAAGCATTCCTAGCCAAGCTAGGATGAAAGATCCTATCAGACCCTACTAATCTTTGGGTTAAACTCATAAAAGAGAAATATCTCCATAACTCCTCTTTTTTTTAATATCAACGTCAACCTAAAGACTCACATATATGGAAACACATTCTTGCGCAAAGGGAGATTCTGCGCAAAGGCATTCGCTGAAAAATCGGTAATGGCAATGACATTTACTTTTGGCTAGACAACTGGGTCACAAATAAAAGTCTCCTAGAAACCTTGGGATTACAAGGCCACCAAGTAAACATTAACTTAAGGGTTGCAGACTTTATTCTCCTAGATCGACATTGGAATAAACATAAGCTTTGTTCATTAATTACCACACTATATTGTACAACTAATCTTAGGCATACCTTTACCTAGCACTCAAATGACTGACACACCAGTATGGGGCCCTACACCTTCGGGGAATTTTTCGGTAAAGTCAGCTACATGGATAGCACATGATTTAGAGCCAAATGTTGTAAAATGGCCACATCGTTGGATCTGGAAACTGGATATCCCGCCTAAACTCCAAATCTTCTTATGGCAAATAATGCATAATAGTCTTGGAGTTAGAGACACCTTTTATAAAAGAAAGATTATTCCCTTTAATCTTTGCACCTTTTGTTCAGCTTATCCGGAATCTCACAATCACTTATTTCTTAGTTGTGATAGGGCCAAAGAAATTTGGAACCACACTTTAACCCAAAGCTGGTTGTCCGGTGAACTTCTACCTACAGACTTAATAACGACACTATCTACGCTTCAAAAAAACAACTCCTCCCTTCGAAAGGTTATCTTCCTTTTATGGAGTATTTGGAAAGAACGGAACTCTATTATTTTTAAGAATGAGACTCTTGACATCCCTAGAACCTTCCATCGAGCGCAATTTGCGTTCAAAGAGTGGAATTATCGCATGCTCATAGATACCTCTTTAAGTTCGGGGTCTCTTATGCAGAGAGCCCAAACCCATCATCTTCCTCACCCAAACCACCCTAACCCACAATTAGTTGCATGGGAAGCTCCTCCTTTCAACACCTTCAAACTCAACTTCGACGGTTCGGTGAAAAACAATTCAGCAGCAGCAGGAGTTATCATCAGAGACAGTGACGGTAAACCCATTGCAGCACAAGCTTTCAACCTTGGAACCACCAATGTCTTTGTAGCTGAAGCTCTTGGTCTTCACAAGGGTATTATCCTCGCCCTCCAACAAGGAATACAAGATCTTCAAATTGAAGGGGACAATCTCCTCGTTGTCAACGCAGTGAATGGAATTTGGTCGACCCCGTGGCAGATTGATCACATTATAGCAGATATCAAGATCCTACTTCGTAGATTCCCCCATTGGAAAATTCGACATGTCTACAGAGAAGCAAACAGAGCAGCAGATTGGATTGCAAATGTTGGCCATCTTGTCACTGACAAATTAGATATTTCTTTTTGTACCTCTTCAGCTTTGTATCCCATTCTCACCTCAGATGCTTTAGGATCACCCCTCGTGAGGAGGGGGTCCTAATTCTTTCCTTTTTTTTTTTCTTACCTTCCAAAAAAAAAAAAGGTTAACTTCAAATAAAAGGCTTACATGGTAGTATAACATGAACTAATATCCCAACTACTATAATTTCAATATTTAAGAGTTAATGAAGAAGTTAAGATGATCCCTACCCTTAAACACAGATATCATGGGATAAAAGCCTTACTCGTCTTTCATTACTCAAAACTAGATATGCCGTATACATATCAATGTATCATTCACCAAAAGGAGGAACGTTTTATTTACCGCCCTTCTAACCACTCACCTAATCCCACCCTATCAACCAATTTGGGAAGAAATCCCCAAATTCAGAAATACATCTCCAATAATTCAAGATTGTGATTACTCCAAAAATTAATTTTATTTTTCATAAATAAAATCAATTTCAAAAAAATCCATTAAATTGAATAAAATTTTGGAATCCGGGCCCACAATTCTTCATAAAAACAGGGTTTATGCTTTTTCTTTATTTTCTCTCACTTCACTTCCCCATACTTTCCAGTCTTACACTCGCACTCACTCCAATTCTCACTGCAAACATTTTCTCTTTCCTCTCGCCGGTGCTTCATCGGCGATTTTTTTTCCGGCGAACGTCTCTTTGCTGCTGCATTTCTTTCCGATCGTCGGAAAATTCGAAGGTGACGTACGATTCTGACGTTTCTTTCTCTCTTTTTTCCTCTTTTTGTCTTTCTTCCTTTGTTTTGATTGTTGATTATATTGTTGTGATTATTTTTTATTGATTAATTTCTCGTAATTTTGTGGGGTTTTTTTTAGTGATTTTTCTTGAAATTTCTACGTATCTACGCTTGTTCATGAGAGTTGTGCTATAAATTGGAGTAAATTGCTGGTTTTCTGTTGTAAATTGTGTGCTAGGGTTTTTGTTTGTGATGAGTTTCGTTCTATTTTATTGTTTTATTTTTTGTTTTATTTAACAATCTTTTCTTTTGAAATGATGTTTGTATGATTTTTTGGTTTGATTTTGTGTGTAATTTATTTTTATTTATGATATTTGTATGATTGTTTGTATAACATTTCTTTCTATGTTTGTATAATGATGTGTAATTTAAGTTTGTATAATTAATTTTTGGTTGATTTTGTTTGTATAATTTTTTTGTCTGTATGTCTCAATTGCCTGAATCATGCTAATGTGATGCATGTGATTTTGGAAGGCTGTATATTAGGAATGGTTGTTTGATGAATGAATATGAGGGATTATGTATATATAGACATGAATGTTTTGATTTTGTTCGTTTTGACCTGACAAATTTGTTGGCATTGTTTTTGAAGTTGTAGAAAATAATTCTTGATGATGGTGTTTTTGTGTTGATTAATGGTACAATGTATTTGCTGATGCCTTGATATTGTCTGTTCTAACGTGCCCTAGTGGGAGCAATGTCGTCTTGTTAATGTCTAAGTTCAGGGAGTGGGTATTTTTAGCTGTGTAGAATGGATCCTTAGGTCATTTCTTTTGCAGCGAATGAATACCAGATCTTACAGTTATGTGGTGTAATTCTTAGCAGCCGGTAGGAATTAGTATTGGAATATAAATTCTTACTTCTTCTGTGTTTTGATTTTATCTTTTTTACTTTCCATTTAGAAGTGGTGTAATGTGTAATTGTTGGCAATATTGTTTGCACCTTTCCTTTTCATGATTAAATATTATAATTGTGGGCAATTCTTTGGTGTTCTGTTATGTTAGGACTACACAAATGCAACTTGTGACTCTATTTTTGGCTTCCATTTATCTTCTAGATAAAATACATATTCTTAATGCTGGTTTCCTGGCAATGAGGTCATTGGAAAAATGGATTATCGAGCTATATGCTAATAAGTTTAATCTCTGCTACTGTCATTATCTGTGAAGTGTCAATATGGATGGGTGTGGGCAATCATGATGTTTACCTCTACTTAAACTTATTTTTGTCAACTCTTTTCTTTCTTTGGTGAAATTTGGTTATAAACTGATATGCGTTGTTCATGTCAAAATTATCTGGCTCTCTTTCTTTGCAAAGTATAGTGTTGTCTTCTTAATCGGGTTAGAGATCCTCTTATAGTCTGATGAGTTTCCGTCTTTTAAGAGTTTGTTATGTAGAACTGGTGGATTCACTATTGATTGCTTTATGATTGTTGAGGCCTACATTGTGTCCTACATTGTGTTTATTCACTTGTGTATAAATTGCTGATTGAGAATTATTGGACAGTAAACTGAAGATATGAGTTCAAGAAAGGGCGTTGATAATTTGAGCAAGGCTGTTAATGATATCAGCCTCGAATCTTCTGAGGATGGGGCCTGGGAGGATGTCATCCGGAAGCCAAAGAAATTTGGAAAGGGAAGACCATGGGTCCAACCAAACCCCCACCAAAAGCATGGGGTCAGCCTGATACTGCTCATAGACTAGGCATACGTAGCTGTAATGCCCCAAACAAGAATTGGACTGTGAAAAGTGGATCCTCTCAACCAAGAGAAGAGGAGGTCGTTGATGAAAAAGAGGAGGTGGTTGACGATTCAAAGGAGAAGGCACATAATGATTCAGAAAATGAAGTGTATTCTGATGATGATGATTATCTTTTGAGTGATGGTTCTGATGATGATGAAGGACCGCAAACTCATGATTCGATGAAGAACCATAAGATGTTGAAGAAGTTTTTCGAAATTGTGGATGCACTGACCATCGAAGAAATAAATGAACCTGAACGGCAATGGCATTGTCCTGCATGCCATGGTGGTCCTGGCGCCATTGATTGGTATAAGGGTCTCCAGCCTTTAATGGCGCATGCTAGGACAAAGGGCTCTCTAAGAGTCAAGCTCCATCGAACATTTGCAGATATATTGGATGAGGAGCTTCGTAGAAAAGGAACTTCTGTGGTGCCTGCTGGAGAATCATATGCTCAGTGGGAGGGTTTGAAGCAAGAGGTGAAAGATCATGACATTGTCTGGCCTCCTATGGTTATGATCATGAACACATGGCTGGACACTGATGACAATGATAAGGTATGAATTTATGTTTATTTATGTTTTTAATCATACATTCGTTAACTGGTCTTGTAATTCCTATGTATATCTGAAACCTCACATATATTTACCATAATATGTACTGACATCCCTTGTGGATCTGTAGGCTGCAGTTTTTTCAGTTTGTTAATTTGTTGTTTGTTTTGTTCAGTGGACTGGGATGGGAAATCCGGAGCTCTTAGAGTACTTCAAGGGCTATGCAGCAGTACGAGCTAAACACTCATATGGCCCTAAGGGGCATCGTGGTTTTAGCGTCCTGATATTTGAGAGCTCGGCTATGGGCTTTGTGGAAGCAGAGCGACTTCACAGGCACTTCCAACAACAGGGAACTGGGAGAAGTGCATGGGATAATAGTAGAAAGGCTCTATTTTATGCTGGAGGAAAGCGCCAACTATATGGCTTTTTTGCCAAGAAGGATGACCTTGACGAATTTAACAAGCATTCTCAAGGTTTCTTACTATCTCCTTTAATATGATAATTTGTTATACATGCCATATATTGTAGTCTTGACTTGAGTTCCTGTGAAACCTCTTTGTTTAGCCCAATGACCCAATCAGTGGCAGAATTTGCTTTGTGTACGTCTTTGTTATACTATGTTTTGGACTGTGAGTGATAACAAAATTAAAGGGACTGTTGAAATTCAAGTCTATTTGGTTTTTGCCATATGGTATTATGTTTGGATATTGTCTTTTCCTTGCAAATCTGGATCCAGGGAAAATGTTCTGTTTGGGATTTTAAATCATTTGGAATTGGATTTACTGAATCTTATGTACTTATTAAAGAAGGCCATCTCTCTGAATTTCCTGTTTTCTTTCCAAATAGTAGTCATTTCCAAGTCCCACATCATCTTGCTTCCACCATTTGTCTTTTCCTCAAAACCCTACCATTGATGGCCATTAGCCCGTGCTGCCCTCTACCATTGAATGTTGGATTTCGTTCTCTCTTCCTCAATTGCTCATTAGTCATAACTTCATCCATTTCTGTCACTGGTCTTTTTAAATTTTTCAGAATGGCACCAATGATGGATTTTTTCCCTTCTCCGTGCTTTTTCAATTCCACCATCATTGCCAACTTCGCAGCTTTCTAATTTTTCTAAAGCTAATTTCTCTATGTATTAAAAAGCAATGGCTGTTGGCCATCCAACTTTGCTAATACTCTCTTTCTCCGCTTTTCTGTCCTGTAAAGGGAAATAATAATAATAATGTTCTTGTTTTTTCTAACAGATGTTTAGGAATCATTTTGAATTTAAATTTTAATTTAAATAGCTGAAATGAAGCATTTGGAATGAATAATTGTTTCCCAAACACAATCTTAGTTATGTATTTGATATGTTCTTTTTCTGTCGAGTTTAGGAAAACAAAGACTGAAGTATGAGATTAGGTCATACCAGGAGATGGTAGTTGTTCCCTTGAAGCAGATGAGTGAGGATAATCAACAACTCACTTGGTTTAAGAATAAATCTGCCCAATATCAACGGCAAAAGAAGGCGAACGAGGAAATTGTTAACATTCTTTCTGAAAAGCTCAGGAAAACAATGGAGGAAAATCGGATTGTGAGACAGAGAACAAAAGAACAGCATGAGGAGAACAAAGAAGAGGTACCACAGTGTCTCTTTTTATTTTTATTTTTATTATTTTTTTTTTTTAAAATGTTCTTTTACAGTACGTATTGAAGGTTTACTGAATTACGCTCTAATATGTCTGGCACTTTCATACTTACGGTCATATGAACACGATTCAATTTTTATCAAGTAAGCACTATAATTCTTTTCCTTCTTGCAGATGGATTTTCAAGAGCAGTTCTTTAATGATCAGATTCAGAAAATTCATGAAGCAACAAATGTGAAGGAGGACCAGTTTGAAAAGCTTCAGCAGGAGGAGCGGAAGAAGATTGAAGATTTGAAGACAGTAGCCTCAAACACAGAGGATGGAAGGCGCAGGTAATGATCTCACTTTAGGTTAATTCTGAGTATCATTTGCAGTCTTGCTTTGCGTCACACAGTTGATTATCAAGATAGTACATGTGCAATTGATATGATTATATTGTTCTTTCGTCAATCATCTGTCCAGGCTATGATGTAATTTGGAGTCTGTTTATTTTCATTGTGACTTTGTCTTCTTACCATCGTATCGACATGCATATTGCAGTTATGTAGTAGCATACATTTGTCAGCTTTCTTTTCCCTTCCATTTCAGGGCTGAGGAGGCGACCAAGTTTAAGGAGATGCAGAACCAAGAAATTGAGAAGTATTTGGCTGAGAGAGAGCAACTGGAACAGATTCACAGTGGGAAGAAGATTGAGATGAAAAAGAGGCATTGGGAGGAGGAGGTGGAGCTGGAGAGAGAATTTGATGCTGCCTTGACCAAGCTGATGAACAAGTATGCTCCTCACCCCACGGGAGCTGGTGCTATTGCATAACTCTGGTGTTCTTAGTAATTATCTGAAAACCAGTGCCGGGGCTACAGTTGCGTAATATTTATGGGGCCCGGTTCAACTTCTCAAAATGGGGCCCTCTACCCAATAAACTAATAGCAAATTTTTTTTTTTTTGGGAAAAGGTAATAAATTTTATTAAAAGTAGACAAAACATTACAACCAAGCATACCACTAACAACCATAAGCATTACATGGCATCCTAGAGAAAACAAACTATATATTATCTAACCCAAAAGGCAAGAAGGACAGCCATCAAACATGGCAAACCAGAAGTCCAGAACCAAAACGAGAGGCAACAGGCCCAGCAACTGATCTGACTAGGACAGAACTAAGGACCTTGTACATGGTGCCGCAACTGGGCAACAAGAAGGCAGAACAACAGCATTCAGCAACTTCTCAACCATTAATGCAGGAAAACAGCAGCAACTCATCAGCACTACAGCATAGCATGCTGAAACAGGACAACAGATGGTCAGTACTGTTGTAGCAGGATCACTTAAAAAGAGATAATTTGAATTAATTTCATGATTTTCATCCTAAAATTAAATATCAAACCGTTGATTAATTGAATTAAGAGATAATTTGGGTAAAATTAAATTTAGTATATGAAAAAATTACAAAAAAACAAAATATTTTTCTGTGTATACGGGAGATTGAGAGTTTTAGTTGACAAAAAACAATGAAAAAACGAATTAATTTGGGGAGATAGAGAGTTTTTTGGGGAATTATTATGATAAATTGGATTAAATTTGGTACTTGGAAGATGGAATAATATGGAACTATGGAAGAAATAAGAATTAAATGGGGTTGGCGACTTGGCGGAAGAAACAATGCGCTGAATTGGTGGAAATTGTCGGTCAAATACTCAGATTATTCAATGTATACTGCCAGTTGTCATCCACTTGCTGTTTTCCCAAAAAAATTTACTAACTTGCTGCTTCAAGGATTCGAACTTGAGACCACTGGAATGAAATGTAAGCATTTTACCATTACACCCAACTTCACATTCTTAACATTCTATGAAAGAAATATACTAATATAGGATATACCTGATTTTGGGGCCCCTCAAATTTCGGGGCCCTGAGCCGTCGAGCACCTTGCTCCGGCTCAGAACCGCCTCTGCTGAAAACAGTCGCAGAGCATGGAAGAAAAACATTTCAGTTTAAGACTTTAACAAAGTAGTCGTGGTTGATGTCTGAGTTTTGTTTATGGAATGATGAACTGACCTAAATAGAGATGACCTATTGTGATTATGTATATAGCCTGGGATGACCAAAGTAATTTCGAAATCCATGTTAATCCAACTTTGGTGCTAGGTGATACAAGGGGGAAACCATATTTTCTACCTGTAATATTTCTTCTGCTTCCCTTGATCACTATGAAACTTGGATTCGTATTTTCAGCAATGTGGAATCGCGTGGGTTTTTATTGCTATGCTCTATTCTACAAGTTTTTGTGTTGATTTGATGACTTTTGTTGTGTGAGGTGATTTGAAGTGCAAAGTTAAGACTGTAGTCTTGTTAACGTTTTACAGAAATCCTTATATGTCTTTAAAATGCCATATTCTGGACTTCAGCAATTACTCCCTTTACATCCAGGAAATCATGGTTAATAAACAGGAAGGATACAGACAACTGGAGAGTAGACGCTTATGTGAATTTTTTCATGTTTCTTTTTTCACAACAGGTTCGATTTTTTCATGTTTCTTTTTTCATAACAGGTTCGATATGTCAACCGATAGAACTCGTTTGTTAATTTATGGATGATCGAATTACTGAAATTACGTAGCTTATCTGACCTGTCTTCATGTAGCTTATCTCACTTTTGTTTTTACTCTTTAACTTATACAGGCATCACATAAAGACCAATGCAGGGAAGGAGTTGATTTTTATTGTATCTCTGCATTATGGATGTACTGTATTCTGTATAAGAACGAGTAATGTTAATCATACAATCATTAAGTATTATTGTGCATTATCTTGTTTACGAGTTTATAATTAGAGTAGATCAATGGGTTGTGTCAAACCAAATTTGGGCAGATGTTGTGATCAAAGTATTCGTGTTTCAAAACGGCAAGAGTTTTTAATAGAAAGTTAATAAAGTTGGTTTATGACAGTAAGGAAAGCACACGATCTGAAAAAACACACATGATCATGAAGATGATGAGTTGCAGTCTTGCAGAGCTGGTAGTTCCGCCATCTTTGGTTCCGGTATTTATTCTTCTTTTCTCTTGTTTCCCGTTCAATTTTGATTTTCAAACCAATAAATGTGCAACACATGACAAACTATAAAAATTAAATAAAAATAAAAAATTAAAAATAACCTTTTCAGCAAGTTGTTGGTTTTTGGGACCGAAGAGAGAGAACGTATGTGAAAGTTGGGAATATTGTAGAATACTCGAATTTTGGAATTATTTAAGGTAATTGGACGAACTTGAAATTATTAAAATGAATTTTTCCTATAAATTAAATTTTATCACGAAATACTTTCTAAATTAATGAAAAAAATTGATGCATTTGATTTTTTTAATGATAAATTAGGACTCGTTTATTTAATTAAGCCCGATTCCCGTTCAAAATTGAACTTAAACTCGAAGTGTAAATGAATATATTCGTGAACAAAGCTTGAATAAGACAAATTCTTAATGAGTTCAGTTTGAATAAGATTTTTAAAAGCTCGTTCAAGCTCGAAATTGTTTAACCCCGAATAATTCTTATCAAGCTTAGCTCGAACAGATTAAAACTCGACTCAACACGGATTGTTTATAGCTTTACTTGTGTTAAACCAAATTTGGCCAAATTTGTGAGTTTTGTGTTTTAAAAAAGCAATAGTTCTGTAGTGAAAAAAGGAAAAAAATAAAATAAAAAATAAAGCAACAGTGACAGTGTGAGCTGAATGAACACCAAGAAGGCAAGAAGATGATGAGTTGCAGAGTTTGTAATTCCGCCATCTTTCATTCTGGTATTCCTTCTTCTTTTCTCTTGTTTTCCCCCTTTCAATTTCAATTTCGATTTTATTCTCGGCATAATCGAATTCATTAAGTTGTTGATGACCGTGAATCGTTTCTTCAATCAGTTTCTGAACAATCCAAATTAGGGTTTTCTGATCTTAAATCCCCCCTTTCACTCTTCAATCGTATGATTAATTTGCGTCCTCTTCCTTCTCTTATCCAATTTACTCAGCTTTTTAACGCCATTTCCAAATTGAAACGCCTTGAACCTCATTCCACCATTATCTCTCTCTTCCGGAAGATTGAATTACTTGGTATTTCACATGATATGCTTTCTTTAAGTGTTCTTGCTAATTGCTACTGCCATTTGGGCAGAGTTGATTTCGGCTTTTCTCTACTTGGTAAAATCATTAAGCTTGGTTATCCCCTTGATTGTGTCATTTTTAACACCTTAATTAATGGCTATATTCACTCTGATAAGCTCCCTCAAGCTGCTCATTTGTTGAATCAAATTGTCAAGCTTGGTTTCCAACCCGACTTAATTATGTATAGTACTATTGTCAAAGGACTTTGTAGGATTGGCGACAATACGTCTGCTCTCACTTTGCTTAACAAAATGCAATCTCGATCTCATTTTAAGCCTAACATTGTTTTATACAGCACTATCATCGATAGTCTTTGTAAGGACAGGTTGTTACAACAGGCCCTGGACCTGTTCTCCTCCATGAAAACTCAGGGCATTAAACCCGATGTTGTCACTTTTACTTCCTTGGTTCGAGGCCTCTACAATTCCGGCTGTGGGGATGAGGCTCATCGTATGTTGACTGAGATGTTAGAGAGCAACATTGCACCTAATGTTAAGACCTACAGCATGCTGGTTGACATGTTTTGTAAAGATGGCTGTGTTGATCAAGCTCAGTCCATTCTAAAGCAGATGATTGAGAAAGGTGTGACTCCTGACATGATTACTTACAGTGCATTACTTGATGGTTATTGTTTGCGCGGTCAGATGGAAGATGCAGAGAACCTACTCGTTCTCATGGCCGAAAATGGTTGTGAGCCTGACCTTGTCAGTTTCAGCACTATGATTAATGGATATTGCAAGGCTAAAAACATTGACAAGGCCCTTAACATTTTCCAAGAGATTTTACAGAAAGGGATAACACCTAATGTTGTTACCTATAACACTCTTATTGATGGACTGTGCAAAGCCAATAGATTCCCACTTGCACATAAGCTGTTCAAAGATATGCGGGCTCATGGAATTGCTCCAGATGTTGTCACCTATGCCTCCTTGCTTGACAGCCTTTGCAAAAGTGCAAAGCTTGATGAGGCAGTGAAATTGCTTGAAGAAATGGAGGATAATGGTGTTAAGCCAAATGTTGTCATCTACAATATCCTAATAGACAACTTGTGTGAGTCTGGAAAACTTGAAGATGCAGCAAAGTTCTTTTCAGATCTTGTAACAAAAGGTCTGCAACCTGATGTTAAAACATACAATATACTGATCAAAGGCTTCTGCAAGAAAGGGATGATGAGTGAAGCTGGTCAAGTGTTGAGGATAATGGAGGAAGATGGTTGCCCCCCTGATGATCGAACCTATAATACGGTCATCAGAGGTTATATTCTGAGTAATGACTTATCTAATGCATTATACTATCATGATATAATGGTTGGCAAGGGATTTCAAGCTGATGCAGACACTTTCTCATTATTTGTTGGCCTCTTGTCATCTGAAAATTTAAGTGACTCAAAGAAGGACCTGCTTCAGATGTTTATCTGTTAAGTTGCAGTTAAGATGTATGCAAAGCTTTTATAGTGCTCTTCCAAGTGTTGTATCTAAGGAGTTTGTATTTTTGTAAAACGAATGATGGTAGTACCACACCAATTTTGTCCTTCAGAAGAACCTGAAGGTAATTGGTGGCATAATTGAAAAGCTGTTGTGTTGTGAATTATTCTTAAGTTTGATGCTTCATTTATGTCTAATATTATTTGCGTAATTTTTTCTTTAAGTTTAACTTATTAAAGTTGCACATGTCTTTCTTGTCCACAACTGAAGCACTTGTGGAATATATGCCATGTAGTTCGTCCTCAGACTGAAGCTGTTTGTTATGTTGGTAAGAAAAAAAGCATATTGCAATCCTTCAAACATTTATGTAAATAAGAGTGCTCTTTCTTATGGTGCTGCTGGGTTATATACTGGAGAAGGGATGTTGCCTGGCTGTTTAAATCCTGTTTCTGGGGCTACTTCATGCAAAATGGGGGTGAAGAATGGTGGGCTGGAAATGTATATCAGAAACTGATTCTTTTGATATTAATGATGATGATGAGGAGCAGTCAGAATTCGAAGTCAATGAACTGGTGTCTAGATCATCTGGAGAGTCTATCAGGAGAATGAGTGAGAAATCATTGAATAAGGAAGTTAAGTTTGGCCGTCAGCAGACATCCAAGTTACCTAAAGATGAAAAGAAAAGGGTAATAGACTAATAGTAGGCATTACTGATATTGCTTGATAATTTTCAATGGTTTTGCCTGGTTATCTCTATGAAATTTAATTTTTGAAATTGTTTTTTTTCCTGTGGCATCATGGCATCCCATATTTGGGGTGATTGAAAATATAATGATCTGATTTTTTTTTTTTTTTTTGAAACAGATCTGAAATTGTTGAGCAAATAATGGTTGTCTTTGTTATATTCTTGTATCCCTTTGATGTTCATGGTAATCTGTCTTGGTTACATGATGTATGTAAGGATTAATAAATATGTATAAAGACTTGGGGATTTTAGCCCTGTAATTCTCTTGTTTTCATGGAGAAGATGAGGTATCTACATGGATGTTCTTTGGATTTGTTGATAAAGCCCTTTTTATCTATTATGTTAGCATAATGCTGTACATTGTTGTATGCCGCTTATTTTGTTCTCAAGGGGCATTTTTCTCACACAGTTTATTATTCTCATCATCTCCTGGCTATATGTCAATTGCAACCTAATAATCAAAGAATTTGCTTGTTTTCACCTCAGGGTGAAGGACTTTTCAAAGCTCGTGAAATTTCACTTCACTTCAAAGCCTAAGGTTGATACATGTGCCTCTGAGAGAGAACAGTTGATGAAAATCCATGAAGAGAAACTTAAGATGAAGAAATGGCACTAGGAAGAAGAAGAATTGGAGAAGCAATTTGCTGCTGCTCTGAGATGCTTCTTGACTCAGATTTAGATGCTTCTTATCACCTTAGATGCAGTAATCGTAGAAGTAAAACTATATCTTATCTGCATCCAGACACTTCAGGTTTTCATTATTGGCATGGTAAATTGGTAAGTATATCTAAAGCTAAATGTATTTTGTGGAAAATAGATCACTTTCGACACCAATTAAGATGCTTCTCTTAAACTCTAAAATGCAGAAATCTTAGAAGAAAACAATTATTTTTCTGTATCCAGATGCTGCTTCATCTTTTGACATAGTATATTTAATGCTTAGTAAATAATTCTTGTAGAAAATGCTTCAGGCCTTTAGCCCATATTCTCACCTGGCACATTATTTGAATGACAAGGCTTATTATTCACATAGAAATTTCCTATTTTGCTACTAACAAACTCAACTAAAGAACAATGTCTTATTTGAGGCACATGTTTTAGACTTCCTCTGCTTTTTGAGAAATAGCAAACTCTTTATTCCCTGATCAAGGGAGGAAATTCATTAATAGCTTAAACTTTAACCTTTGTGAGCCCACCTCGGTCTCACTCACTTGAAGGAAAGCGTTAGCTACACTGCTTTTTTTTAATACTAGTTAGTTGCTCACCTTTTTGCCTTCATTGATGCAAGGATGAACTCTTAAGTCCCCCTTTCTTGGACATTGCTTGTATTTCTTCAATTAGATGAGTAAGATTAGAATAGGAGGATCCACCTTCAGCGATACTTCTCTTTGCTGCCTGTGATATATTATCCATTGATCTGCACAGATTTTCTTTCTTACCATCCATGAGATCATTTATCATCATCTCCACTATTGCTCTATCACATGTATCCTTCATATCTAAGCCAATTCCCCAAACTTGACTGACAAACCTGCTGTTCACTTGCTGATCACCAAACTAAGGCCAACAAAGCATTGGTACCCCTGCTATTATGCTCTCTAGAGTTGAGCTCCACCCACTGTGGGTCAAGAACCCACCAATGGCTCGGTGAGCTAAGACCTCATCTTGTGGGGCCCATTTCACCTTGCATCCTCTCTTCTTGGTTCCCTCCAAGAGGTCATCTGGAATTGGACCGTCTAGGCCACTTGTGATGACATCAGGCCTTACTACCCACAGGAAGTACTTCTTACTCTGCACTAGACCAGCCCAAAGTTCCATGAGTTGGTCAGCTGTGAAGGTAGTTGTGCTGCCAAAGCTTACATAGATGACAGATTTGTCGGGCTTTTGGTCCAACCATGATATACAACTATTATCCACTTCCCACAAGCTACTAGATAAATTGTTGTACAATGGTGTTTCCTCTTTGTCGAGTCTGTATTTTAGGTGTGCATGTAATGGTCCAATGGGGTAAACCCGGGAGCATTGTGATCTGATTTGAGATAAAACCGGACCCTCCAATTCCTCAAATGTATTGAGAATGAGCGAGTGGGACTCTTTGTTTCTCTGCATCTCATTCATGAAATATTGTTTGAGGTCACTACATGAGGACATGTCTTGGCCTTGGCAGAAGCTGGGCAGGTCACGGCAGCGAAGAAAGCTTTCCATCCCTGGTACCTTACTTACTAGCTGATCCATTTCTTCATTCTCTATGCAATTCATGAAAGGGTAAAAGAAAAAAAAAAAAAAAAAAAAAAAAGAGTTACCAGAATACCAGCAGATAATCTTACTGATTTGAGGACTACAGTAATGTATGGTTGGTATATACTGTTTTTGTTATTCTGTATTGGAGACCCTTTAAAGGCTTTGTTAGACTGAATATTTGTCACCTGAATTAAAATTCTTAGTTTTTGGCATAAGTTATGTTCAGCCTCACCATCAAAGCCCGAGCTTAATTAGATAAATTTTACTAAGCTGCGGGATCATGGTTCAAGACTGCTCTTTTCTTTATTCTGCTTAGAGCTTAATAGGCGATTAGATATTATTGGATTTAAATACCATTTCATAATTACAGTTTATTTTGTTTAAGGAAGTTCTTAAGGTTCCCAGCTAGCCATATTGCTTCTAGTTGGACCTTAATGGCTTAAAGTATTGTACTTCCTGAGTTTTTAGCTGTTAAAACTAGAGTAATTAACCTGTACTTAGGTAATGATGATTTTTGCGCATACACATAATCTATTTTATGTTTGTATCTATGCATAAATCTCTGCTTGCATATTATAAGTTGCTGCGGCTTCAATTACACTGAATTGAATCCATATACAGTATGTTTATACTGTCACTATTGAACACTCTTGTCAGTCTTATTTATGGTACTTAATTGGCTTGATTTTATTTATTTATTTTTATTTTATTTATTTATTTGGCAATGCTTGCTTGCTCAAGGCAAAGATTTCCCGATTACCATGAGCTTGCCTTGCTTTGTGTTTTGCAGCTCTTGCCTTTGGTAGTATGCTTATCTTGTACTTCTGATAGACTATTGAATTGAGACAAAAAAAAAAAAAAAAAAAAAAGAGCATTCATCAGATTTTTCTTTATGAAACCTCTTTTTCCTATACTATTGAACTTAAAAACAAACTGATGAGACGCGTTTAGAAGAGAATTTGGAGAAGGAAGGAAGAGTGAAGGATCCATGTTTCATTGAAGCAAATTGGAGAATATAATATTCCTTTCATTTGTTAAGCTTAGTACAGCATTCTTTAAATTATTAGAAAGGAGATCTTTTAGGTAATTGCTTGCTCACTCCTTTCATCCCTTCCCTGCCCTCGCCGCCCCCTTCACCCTTACCATTATCATACACAATCATGTAAATTTTGTTCATCATTATAGTTGGTATGAATAATAAGATCATATATTAGTAACACTGAAAGCTCTTAAAAGTCAAGAATATAGATATGCTTACCTTTGAAAGGTACTTCTCCTGCTTCAATGAGCTGTGGAATACAGAAATAAGTCCAATTACAACATGCACTGGAACACCTGAATGCAATAACAGGTACCTCAGCTTCATTTGCTAGATCATAAGCAAAGCTCAACCACCCATCTATGATGAAACAGGTAACCTTATCTGTTTCTGTTGATCCAAACAGAAGCTCTCTCAAAAGGGGTTTAGCACTTGGTGCCACCCCCTCATTCACAGCATTCAAGAGGTCCATGACATTATTAGTGTTACCAGCCTGTGGCCGAGATTGGTTTTGGGGAGGCCAACCTGATATCGTCTTAAACGTGAAACCCGAGTAGCGGGAAAAAACGAGCTTCAATGTTGTTGTTTTGGGTCAGAAATTGGTGATTGTGGTTTGTATTCAGGAAAGTCACCTGAATATCAGCAAGACAAAGAAGTTCGGCTAATTGTAGCATAGGGGTTACATGGCCTTGTAATGGTAATGGAAAGATGAGCACATGAGGTGTAGGAGATGATTGGTTCTCCATTTTTGCTTGTGATTTTGGGGTTGGAATTATGAGGTTTAGCTATGAAACTGATGAAGTTGATGAAGGTGTTGTAAATATTGATGGACTAAAATCTAATAATGACAAGTTTTTCTGGTCTTGTTGTTCATCACTCAAAAAAGATAAAAGTACAAACGTCAAACGTGTAGTATAGTGGAGTACTTGGTAACAACTACTTTTACATGTTATTATGGAGTTAAAAAATTATAATCAAGGTAAGTGTAATTAAAAAAAAAAAAAAAAGTCAAATTCACAAAAGGGGTAGGTTTTTCTGGGTCGGAGTTGGGTTTTGGGATAGTTAGGTAGTTTTCCGGCGTCGATAAGGGTTTTTTCGAGGTCGAGTTGAGATTTTGAGGTGGTTAATAGGGGTTTGGGAGGCGTGGCAGGGGGTTTCATGGTGGTTAGGGGGTTTTGAGGTTGGCTGTGGTTTTATTTCAGGTGGCAGTAGGGGTGGGGCTGTGGTGGTTATGGTGGTAGGTAGGCATGGAAGGGGTTGGGAGGTGGAAGGAAAGAAATGAAAAAAAAAAAAGGGAAATTCTACATGGTGGCCTCATGGTTTCCATTTTTCTACGTGGAAGACGAAGTTTTTTCCAACTCTCTAAAGTGGCCCCAAGGTTTTGAAGTATTATGCATAGTGCCCATTTTTTGATTTTTTGGCTAACTTTTTTAGCTTTTGGTTAGCCATAAGTAAAAATAAAATAAAAAAAATATTTAAAAAGAAAAAAAATAAAGAAAACCACCAACCACCAGCGAGCCACCCACGTAGCCGGCGCGCCACCACCCCCTTCCCCCCACCTCACCGCACCCCTCCCCGAAACCACCAGCCGCGTCGCACCACCACCCCCTACCCACCGGAACCCTTCCCCTCCCTTTCCCGCAGCCGCCTCGCCCCCAAAAACCACCAAACCCAAAAACGCACCACCACCCCCTACCCAAAAACGACCACGAATTTGGCCGAAATCGGCCAATTTTGGGGCTCAGTGGCCTTGATCGGCCGATTTCGGCCTTTTAAGGCCAAATTCGTGGTCGTTTTTGGGTAGGGGGTGGTGGTGCATTTTTGGGTTTGGTGGTTTTTGGGGGCGAGGCGGCTGCGGGAAAGGGAGGGGAAGGGTTCCGGTGGGTAGGGGTGGTGGTGCGACGTGGCTGGTGGTTTTGGGGAGGGGTGCAGTGAGGTGGGGGGAAGGGGGTGGTGGCGCGCCGGCTACCGTGGGTGGCTCGCTGGTGGTTGGTGTTTTTCTTTATTTTTTTCTTTTTAAATATTTTTTTTTTATTTTATTTTTACTTATGGCTACCCAAAAGCTAAAAAAGTTAGCCAAAAAATCAAAAAATAGGCACTATGCATAATACTCAAAACCTTGGGGCCACTTTAAAGAGTTGGAAAAAACTTCGTCTTCCACGTAGAAAAATGAAAAACATGAGGCCACCATGTAGAGTTTCCCAAAAAAAAAAACATTTTAACCTGGTTATACAATTTTTAAGAGTGTATTTAATGTTTATATATAGCCTTAAAACTACCTATATCATTACCCATTAATAAATATCTTATTAAATCAATAATCATCAAAATAAAAAATATATATACACCAAGTTTTCTATGCTACTAACTACACCGTGTAGCTAATTGTAAAGTAACAAAATTATCCTTTAACACTGACAAGTATTTAAAAAATCATTCAATAGCTACCTTATTATTAATTCAATAATCATCAACAAAAAAAAAATATACAACACGTTTTTTTGTGCGATAAGCCGCTATTGTGACTGCTTGCAAAAGAATAAAGTAATCCCTATAACACCACCGGAGTATCCCCTATAATGTTAATTATAAGGGGTTATAACATTGACAAAGTACACCCATATAGAGTGACCAGCCACATGCCCACTTATAAGAGTCAATGATTACACTTTAAAAAAAGACGGGTGTACGTTCATTTTATTATAAAACGGGTTAAAGTTATCATAAAAGTATTCAAAGTTACTCTTTAGAGTACAAAAGTTATTATTTTTCTAATAATAATTTTTTTCTTACAAAAGATTTATAAGGTATTAATTAATCATCTTAGTCTTTATAATACTACCTCCGTTACAGGTTATGTGCAACGATTTGACATAAAGCAGAGAGGGAAAACGTCTAATCATTGCACATAACTTGTAACGGAGGTAGTATGTAATGATAAATCTATAAGAAATTACACATTAAAATAAAATTCAAATCAACTACAAATTAAAAGTTATCCTTTAAATGGTTAGATTTATTATAAAAATAGTTAAACTTACTTACAAATTGACCATCTTATAATAAAAATTATTGTACACTCGCCTACTTGTATATAAAAATCTACTTCACGTATTTGAAATATAATTTTGTAAACATATTTTTATAATATCCATCGGTAAAATATACGACGGATCCCCAATTAATCTCAAAGACAACATTTTAGTTTATCTCCTCTCACAACTTTATGCATTGATTTTTGTACCACTTTATTATTTTACATAAGCTCCTACTGAAGAAAAGGCGGGCCCGATCGGGCGCGAGATTTTTAGAGATAATTTTGGCGATTTATTTTAGTTTTAATTAGGAGTATTTGTTTTAGATATAAATACGATTTTAATACTTTCGATTAGTACTTCTTCTCTTAGACTTTCTCTCTCTACTTAGCTTTAGATTAGTTTCTCTCTCTAGAACTTTGTTCTTAATTCAACTCCTTAATTCTGATTACTTTGGTAATGATTTCTCCTACTTTAATCTCATTTATTTTACTTTAATTATTCTTTCGTCATGTCTCCTTTAATTGCTTTGTTTAGTTTATATTTAATTATGTATGAGTAGTTTTCTTTCTAGGGTTTATGGGAATCCATAAATAATATGAAGGGGTAATTTATTGTTGTTGATTATTAATGCTAGATTAATTACCTATTGATTGATTTAATGCTCTGTGACTAGATTAGGCCTAATCTTTTATGCATGAGTTTGACAATATTGATTCGAGATTCGAGAGATGAGAATTGATGTTTAGGTCTAGTTTCAATAGGCAGGTTAATTTATAAATGGTTAAGTCGAGATTCGAGAGATGAGATTTAATACCGGTAAATTAATTCTGTGATTGTAATACGTAGCAAAAGCCCTTTATGATCTGATTAATTGATGCATTGATGATTGATTATTATGTTTTACCCTGGAATGTTATTTATTGGTGAACCTATTATCTAGGTCTTTTATTCGTTGATTTTCTCTATTCTTATTCTTCTCTACTTTTACTCTTAGTAGTTTAGTTTCCTTTCACCAATTTATTATTTTGTTACTTAATAATTTAGATTGCTTTAATTAATTAGGAATAGAAAGACCAATTTCCCTGTGGATTCGACCCTACTTCCCTATTTGCATTAGTTAGAGGATTTAGGCATTACTTTTGATTGGGTGATACGACTTTAGCCTCTCAGTGGCCTGGTCTCGTTTGTTTCCTTCCTCTGGGCTATTTGGATTATGAGGAATCAATGCATTTTTAAGCAAGCAGAGTGGTCTCCTTCCTTAAATTGCCACCTCGCCTAGGATTGGACAACTCGGGCCGTGCAAGCTTGGGATTTTCAATAATATATCATTTCCATTGCCCGACGTTCTCCTACACCTAGTCATGAATGCGCGCTGATCTGTCTGCAAGGTGGTGCCTCTGCTTGTGTTGATCACTGTCTTATCTTTGATGGTGCTTGGCCTTCCCAGGATAATTGTGCAGGAGTTGGTTGGTAATCCGAGAGGTTTCTTCTACTGCAGTTCTGGGTGGAGGCGCAAAGGCTAGTCGTGTCGCCACCGCTCTTCAGGCGGAGTTGCAAGCTTATCTGTGGGCCCTTCGGGCTGCTGTTCGTCAGAAGTATCGTAGGGCCTGTTCTCTTCAACTTATTTTCAGTTCAATTCAGCTCCAATAAGTTCGATTTTGTTCAGTTCTTAATTTCCTTCTCTCATATAATATTCAGTTCAGTTCAGTCCAGCTCCAATAAGTTCAGTTCAGTTTAATTCAGTATATTTCAGCTCAGTTTAGTCAATCAGAATAGACTCGTAGTCTTCTCATTTATACGGATTGCGCTGCCTTGGTCTCCTTAGTTAAGTGTTCCAGTTTTGTTGATATATCCTGTTTGTACTTATTTTGGGAGATTACGGAGATTCTTCCCCACTTTTCAGTCTGTCGCCTTTGTAAAGTCCCTCAAAGTTGGGTACTCATGCGCATTGGTTGGCAGTCCGCGTTCGTGATCGTCATTTCCTTTGCTGGTCCTTTTAGTTAGTGCTCATTGTTTGTTGTTTAGTTTGTTGTTTCTTTGGTAGTGATCTTTGTTATAAAAAAAAAAAAAAAAAAAAAAAAAAAAAAAAAAAAAAAAAATTAATTAAAAAAATTAAAATTAAAATAAAATTTAAAAAAAAATTAAAATTAATTTAAATTAAATTAAATTAAAAAAAAAAAAAAAAAAAAAAAAAAAAAAAACCTTGTTATTTTTGTGCGAGTTTTATTTTGAGTCCTTACAAAGTTTAGTACGAGTCACAACACTCACAAGCTACAGAAATGGCAGGATTGAAGATGATACCTAAAGCTTCAGCTTCCTTCATTAATGGCGGTATTACTCTTTCTCTTTCTTTTTCTTCTTTTCCTTTTCATTCTCGATCTTTTTCCAAAACCAGATTTCGTGATTCTCACTTGTTTCTAGATTCTGTTAGAGATCATTGCAAACTAGGGTTTGCTGATCTCAAATTTCCCCTTTTACTCTTTAATCAAATGATTAATTTGCGCCCTCTTCCTTCTGTTGTGTACTTCAATCAACTATTCACCGCCATTTCCAAATTGAAACGCCTTGAACCTCATTCCACCATTATCTCTCTCTTCAGGCACCTTGAATTGTATGCTATTAAACCCGATATGTATTCTATTGGTATTCTTGCTAATTGCTACTGTCATTTGGGCAAAATTGATTTTGGCTTTTCTCTTCTCGCTAAAAGACTTAAGCTTGGTTATCCCCTTGATTCTGTCATTTTTAACACTTTAATTAACGGCTATATTCACTGTGATAAGCTGCCCCAAGCTGCTCATTTGTTGAATAAAATTGTCAACCTTGGTTTCCAACCCGACATTATTGCCTATAATACTATTGTCAAAGGCCTTTGTAGGATTGGCGACAATACGTCTGCTCTCACTTTGCTTAACAAAATGCAATCTCGATCTCATTTTAAGCCTAACATTGTTTTATACAGCACTATCATCGATAGTCTTTGTAAGGACAGGTTGTTACAACAGGCCCTGGACCTGTTCTCCTCCATGAAAACTCAGGGCATTAAACCCGATGTTGTCACTTTTACTTCCTTGGTTCGAGGCCTCTACAATTCCGGCTGTGGGGATGAGGCTCATCGTATGTTGACTGAGATGTTAGAGAGCAACATTGCACCTAATGTTAAGACCTACAGCATGCTGGTTGACATGTTTTGTAAAGATGGCTGTGTTGATCAAGCTCAGTCCATTCTAAAGCAGATGATTGAGAAAGGTGTGACTCCTGACATGATTACTTACAGTGCATTACTTGATGGTTATTGTTTGCGCGGTCAGATGGAAGATGCAGAGAACCTACTCGTTCTCATGGCCGAAAATGGTTGTGAGCCTGACCTTGTCAGTTTCAGCACTATGATTAATGGATATTGCAAGGCTAAAAACATTGACAAGGCCCTTAACATTTTCCAAGAGATTTTACAGAAAGGGATAACACCTAATGTTGTTACCTATAACACTCTTATTGATGGACTGTGCAAAGCCAATAGATTCCCACTTGCACATAAGCTGTTCCAGGAGATGCGTGCTCTTGGTATTGCTCCAGATGCTGTCACCTATGCCTCCTTGCTTGACAGTCTTTGCAAAAGTGGCCGGCGTGACGAGGCAGTGAAATTACTCGAAGATATGGAGGATAATGGTGTTAAGCCTGGAATTAGCATATACAATATCCTGATGAACAGCTTGTGTGAGGCTGGACAGCTTGAAGATGCGGCAAATTTCTTCTCTGATCTCGTATCAAAGGGTCTGCAACCTGGTATTATAACATACAATATATTGATCAAAGGCTTCTGCAAGAAAGGGCTCATGAGCGAAGTTGCTCAAGTGTTGAGGATAATGGAGGAAGATGGTTGCCCCCCTGATGATCGAACCTACAATACGATCATCAGAGGTTATATACTGAATAATGACTTGTCAAATGCTTTATACTATCATGATCTTATGGGTGGAAAAGGATTTGAAGTTGATGCAGACACTTTGTCATTGTTTGTTGGTCTATAGTCTTCTGATAACTTAAGTGACTTGAACAAGGACCTGCTTCAGAAGTTTATCAGTTATATTGCAGTTAAGATGTATGTTAAGCTACTGTAGTGCTCTTACAAGTGTTGTATCTATCTGTTTTGTATTATTGACAAACAAAACATCTAATTTTGCTATGTTCTTCAGATGACCCTGAAGGTAATTGGTGGCATAAATGCATAATTAAAGCTGTTGTGTTGTGCATTGTTCTAAAGTTTGATGCTTCATTTTCTGTCTAAAATTTTGTGTGTAATTTATCATTAAGTTTAACTTATAATGGTAACATGATAAATGGTCATTTTTAAGTTGCACATGTAGTTCTTTCTAGCTCTGTTATGACTAAGATGAGAACTATAAAATTCAAACTTTATCAAAAACTGAGATCAGCATCTTTAGCTTTCTTTTCCATGCTTTAGTTTATAACAGCTAATGGGCTGTTATATTTAAACCGATGTGCTGATTGAACTGCAGAGGCACAGTTAACTGATCTGCTAAATTTGTTCCAAATATACCCTTGCATAAGATATCTAAAGGTATATTATTTCTGCAGCTTTACTAGTTTCAATATTTGTTTCATAATCCAGGCTAGATTATTGTTGAAGGATTTGTGTTGGGTTTATATCACTTCAAAATGTGTGGTTGGTTTGTTGTTGCAGAGAAAGTTGAGATGAAGTTGAAAAGGCAGGGTACTGATGCTCTGAGACAAGCTGTGAAAAACAAACTGCTGTTAGTATTTAGATGCTTCACTGCTTGGATTGGTAAATATTTCTGAACTTAATATATTTTGGTCCTTTAGTATATCCAATAATTCCATGACATTTAATTATGGTACTTTGTTGTGAATTTTCCAGCCAATAAAATTGAAAAAAAATATAAAAAAAATGTGAATATTTACAAGGGAAATAAATACGAGTATAAGTTTTAGTAAAGATATTTGGATACTTTTGTCAAGTTACATAATATGATTTTCAGGTCAAACAGACTTTACAAAACATGGATATTAATTTTTAATTGAAAGGAACAAAGCAATTTGATGAAATGTACCAGATTATAAACCTAACTGCAAATTTACATTAGGAGAATAAGCATCTCTCCCATTCTGTTAGTCTGCTCAAATTATTTCACAAATTTTTTATTTTTGTTAATCTCAACCGTGCATATACAAAATACCATCTTAAAGCCCTTTATATATGAAATTATGCAACTTGAACCATTAAATATTTTGCAAAGACAAAGAAAAGTAAAAAAAATTTCTGCAAAGAATCCTAAATTACATAGAAATTAAACTCTTAACAGACCTACAGACCATGAGTTCTAACAATAACAACCTACGGAGTACTTATTCTTTCTACACGTAAAATCTAATCCTTAATGGATTAACAAGACCGTGTAGAACTCCTACCAAATTAATTCAAGAAATTAAGAACAGAAAACATCAGTTACCACCATACTCCTTTACATCAACATATCCCTACATCCAATATAACTAGCTAGAGATAGTAACTTATAAATAGCTTGAAATATTGTTTAATTTGTAACTTGGCCAAAGATACTCAAATCCACTTCGGTACAATTTCTAGTTCATTCACCTGTATGTTCTTCATTGGGGGGAGATATCTAATGCTCCTCTTTCTTGGTCATCCCTTTTATTTTCTCGATTAACTGGTCAAGATTTGAATATGAAGACCCCCCCTCACTTATGCTCTTCTTTGCTAAATGTGAGAGTTTAGACACTGACATTCTCAGCTCGTCCTTCTTTCTCTCCATAAGATCTTTGATCATGTTCTCCACTATTTTTCTATCACATGTATCCTTCATATCGAGGCCAATTTTCCAGACTTCAGTGATGAATCTGCTGTCCACCAGATGATCAGCAAAGTAAGGCCAACAAAGCATTGGCACCCCAGCCACTATGCTTTCCAACACCGATCCCCTTCCACTATGGGTGAAGAACCCACCAACAGCACGGTGAGCCAATACTTCGTCCTGTGGTGCCCAGCTCACTATGTATCCTCTCTCCTTGGTTCCTTGCACAAGGTCATCGTGAGCTGGACTATCTGAACCACTTCCTGTAATGATATCGGACTTTACGACCCATAGGAAGTACTTGTTACTCTGCACTAGTCCTGCCCAAAATTCCATCAGCTGGTCCTTTGTGAAGGTAGTAATGGTACCAAAACTTGCATAGACAACGGATTTGTCAGGCTTTTGGTCCAACCATGAAATGCAACTTCGATCAACTTCCCACAAGTCGCTAGAGGAGGTGTTGGACAGTGTTGTATCTTTTCGGTTGAGCCTGTATTTTAAGTGAGCATGTAGTGGACCTATGGCGTAAACATCTCTACAGTGCTCACAAATGAGAGAGAGTATTGGACCCTCCAGATCCTCAAATGTGTTGAGAATAAAGGTGTGAGCTTGCTTGATTTTTTTTATCTCGCCGTTGAAATAGTCTTGAAGCGTGCGTAAAACAGATATGTCTTTGTCTCGGAAGCAGCAGGGAAGGTCACGGTACCGGAGGAAGCTATCCATCCCAGGTGCATTCTTTACTAGCTCATCCATATCTTCATCTATTATATATTGTTCATCGTAGTTCATTGCAAGAGAACTAAAACCATTAGAATACCAAAAATGTTATAGTGAGGTTTATGCTTTCTGAAATTGTGTTAAAAGTATGCCAGATATCTATAATATCATTTGCCATAGAATATATTTTTATTGTTGTAGTTTCATTTTGCTGCATTATTTTAGTATCAATCTCATATCAAATAGTGCTTGCCTGCTTGGTTGGACATAATATCACTTCCAGTGTTGTTGTGATTCCTAAAATTTACATTTTTGGGGAGTTGATTATTTGAGGAAACTGTTATTACTTTGTTAAAGTCACATATTAACAGATTTTATTTAGTATATTTCTTTGTAATGTTTTTGAAATTAATTTTAGTGACTACTTATTTGTTCTTTCTAGGTTGTTTACACAAAAACTACTTTTTAAAATCCTAGCTGTGAAATCTCACATTTACAAAATTTGGATTTTGAAAGCTGGTTTCAGACAAGATATCCTAAATTAAATGATATCCACCAATATAGTATTAAAAATGGCAAAAAGAATATAATGCAAATTATAAGATAATGAAAAAAGTTATGGAACAAGAATGAATGAAATGATATGTTAAATGAAAGATAGTATTGAATGATAATGAATAATTTAAAAAAAAAAATGGTGGTAGCTAGAATAGAACTTGAGTTTCTCTGGAAGTATGCAAACTATCCCTTATATATCTCCTTGATAAACAAATCAAAATTATATCATTTTGAATGGAATGTACAATATTTTATAATCCGATTTTAATCAACTGTATGTTAAATGTATATCAATTTAGTTTGATACTATATATTTAAGACTCTAAACTACTTTAAAAATGTACATGTAGAGGTAGGTTATTTATACCTTTGAAGGGTAATTCCGCTGCTTCAATTAGCTTTGGTAAACATTGAAGAGTCCAAATGAAGCTTGCACCAGGAATCATAAATGTAATCACCGGTAACTTAACCTCATTAGCTACATCATTAGCATAGCTCATCCATCCATCTAATATTAAACATGAAACTTCATCTTTTCCTACAAAAATGTCCTTCAAAAGGGGCTTAACACTTGATGCTAATGCCGCGTGCATTTCTCTAAACCAGGTTTTATCACCAGAACGTGGGTGGTCATCGGGAAGCCCATCAGGTACCGTCTTAAAGGTAAACCCGGGATAGCGCCCAAAACGAGCTTCGATGTCAGTGTGCTTGGTAAGTCGTTTTTGGTTGTAGGTTGTGTTTAGGAAGGTTACCTTAAGATTTGCTAGGCATAAAATTTCTGCCAAGTTTAGCATTGGGGTTATATGGCCTTGTAATGGGATTGGAAAGATTAACACATGAGGTGTAGGATATGATTTGTGCTCCATTTTTACTAACAATATTTTTAGTCTTGGAATTTAGATTTATAGTTGTAATAAACTTGTAATATATAGTTGGATAAACTTGTAATATATAGTTGTATAGAATAGTATTGTATCCTCGAGAGAAACGAGGCATCTCAAATTTTAAAAACTGAATCATGCAATTTTGTTGTTAGTTTAGTCTATTTAGGATGGTACATTATTGAATCTCAGTGAATGAATTATTAGAAGGCTGACATGGAAAACATTGTAATTTTTATTCAAATAAATTGAAAAAAGTTGTGAAATTATGTTTACTTTTTTTTTTTTTTGGTGAAAAATTATGTTTACAAGTTTACTTTACGATTAAAAAACAAAAGGGGTTGTTGATCTCGTAGGCTCGTGGCACCTCGTGCTTGCTTTTAATAGTCTGAACAGTGTTAGGTTCGTAACAATTCTTAGTTTATTATTGTGACAAATGCCTTTCGCCCGTGCAACCTCGAATTATATAAAGTAAAATTAGGTATGTTCATTTATATTATTAAATTATGAAGAATATGAAACAATCATCCTTCATTAAATTAATTAAAGTAGTAATAAAATTATTTAAACAAATAAAAAGAATAAAAAAGGGGTGACACATGGACACGTGGTGCTAAATTCCTACTCACGGTTTGAGTTTTCATATATTACCTTCGTTTCATATTATTTGCAACTATTTAACATAAAATAGAGAGGAAAAATGTTTAATCGTTGCAAATAATATGAAACGCAGGTAGTACTAGCTAGGTATAGATATTTCATGTATCAGAAAATGTTCGGCGTCAGAAAATAGGTTAAATATATTAGAAATTAGATTATAAATTCTTCACATTTGGCTTTACAACTACCTTCTTCTTCCTCTATTAATCCAACAATCCCAATTCAGAAAAATACATATCAACAGAAAAAACATAATATTAAAACAATTAATTAAGGGTAGTATTAATAAGTGAGAAATTCTTAATGACGAAATCGACCCATTGTAAGTCTTGAGTTTACTTAACAATTAATTGTTTTCCTGTTACAAAATAAGCAACTTTTAGCAACAATTTAATCAATTAATTAAGGATACTCGGTCGCCGACAATTGTATTGGGTGGTAGTAGTGGGTGGGGATAGGTGTGTGCATTTAAAACTGAACTCACATGAAACGGTCTTACATAAAATCTTCTGAAAATTTTAACATGCTTCAGTTTACATGCAAGAAAAATGGTCTTGGTTTGTATAATTTAATTTGTTTAACGCCAAAAAAAAAAAAAAAAAAAAAAAAAAAAGGTTCGTTTGGGATCATTATTACCTATAAGGATCAAACTTCGAAGGCGCGCGAAGTTATATATATATAGACCACGACTACCCTAAATCAATCTTTTTAACGTGTTATGGCCGAGACTAGAGAATAAATCAAAATTACAAGTATCATGTAGAATAAAATTAAAAATTGAGTATGTACATAGTGACAAAGAGTTCATTAAACGAAAAACTATTACAACCTACATAAATACAAGATACAAACACTAAAACCCCTTTAGTAGCTTAGACAAACCTCATGTTTTTTTTTAAAAAAAAAATGGTAATATGCGCTTGTTGGAGCCCTTGATTGTCAAACTAAACTATACCTTTGCTTTGCAATGTCATTAACCCATAACAATAACATTTGAAGGTTGCATTGAAGTGTTGAAGCTAGGGCCGAAAGCATGAATGAAACCATTAGACACATATAGAGCTTGACAAAGGAAGTAGCAAAGGAACAAAAACTCGACCAAGGCCTAATTGAGGAAAACCTATCAGCAAGACCGAGGGCTATTACCCAAAGTAAAGATAGTCAAGTGGGATTCTTAGCTTAATACCACAACTTAATTGAGTCACATTTCCTTGTGACTCGGTATCCATTTGAAAGGGTACCGTTGGTCTATCCTCCTCAAATAGGATGAGACCCAACTTCACTAATGCACTATAAACCTCCAAACTTACCGTTGTATTGGGGAAGCCTATTTTAGATAGAAATTTTTGTAAGCAATGAAATTTAACCTCATTGCTAACCGATATTAGGAATTACTTTCTTTACTAATTTCCTAACAAACCTCTTGCACTCAATCATAGACCAAAAATACACCGGCCTTCGTCTTATTACAATCAAGTACTAGCCCACTATCTATAGACACCCTACAATCTAAATCCTTTATCTCTACATAGTGAAATATGTGAGCAAGTAAACCTACAAAACCAACCCTATAGAGGAAAACAGTACACAACCCAACCTCAAACCCTCATAAGGTTAGAATTCATCCTAAAATTGAAATCAAAGAACAAATTATCAAACTTATCAAGGACAATAAGACAAAGGAAATTTTGATTTTTATCACCTCCAAAAAACGACTTATTGGATTTTACGACCTACATAATAAAAGTTTTATTTTATCACCAACAAAATTTTCAATAATTGGATTTTACCACCAACTAAACCCGCAATGAAATCAACTTACCTCGGTTGGTCGGAATTTCGTGTGGGGCTAAGGAGGGGTCGGAATTTGGTGTGTGGGCTAGGGAGGTGGTCGGAATTAGGTGGTGACTAGGGTTTTAAGAGTGGTTGGAATTAGGAGGGGGCTTTTATGGGTGGTTGGAATTCGATGGCTAAGGTTTTGAGGTCGAAAATTGGTGGAAAGGGGGCTGAAATCCGGTGGCGGTTTCTTGTGCATTGCGCGGTGCTGTGCGGTGGTCGTTGTGTGGCGAATATGTGGTGGGGCTGGTAGTCGGTCCGGCGATGGGGCTAGTAGCCAATCCGGCAGTGGGGTCGTGGTGATGGCAACAACCACTAGTTGATGGCTGTTTTTTTTTTTTTTGGTTTTTTTTTGTTTTGTTTTGTTTTAATTATTTTTTTAAAAAATTTACCCAATAATATGGTGACACGTGTGCAGGTAGGCCCCATTAACGAATTTATAGACGAAATCCGTCAGTTGGAGGTGATTGATGGTAAAAGCCAATATATTTTTTTTAATTTTATTATTTATTTTTATTTGGTGATAAAATATATTTTTTGTTCCTCTTATATAAGTGGTAAAAGTCAAATTTTCCTTAAAAAAAAAAAAAAAAAAAAAAAAAAACCCTTTAACATACGGTATATGAATTTTCTATTGGGAATTTGGGATTCCTTTCTATTTTATTTCTCCTTTCACGTTTCATACTTTCATTGTTTCACCTAACAAGGCCATAGAAATGGAGAGAGAAGAAAAAGATGACGGCGAAGAAACCTAACTTTTAAAGGATTGCTTTCAGCTTTCCGCCATTTCCGATTTCGAAGGTCTTTTCCTCTATCTCTCCTCTCAATTCTTCAGTTTCTTACATTTTTATTCGTTCATCAATTTGAGCAGCAAAAAACTGTTCATTTTGCAGGCATCTGAATCAATTGTTGCGTGTATTTACAATTTGGTATGCCGGTAATTGCACTTTTAATCTGATGGGAATGTTTGTTCTGAATTTGAAATTATATTTGTGTTGTTGTGAAAAGGCGAAAAGCTTGTTCTTGGCAATTTCTCTTTTTATTTTTCATGCTCTAAATTAATTTATTGTTCAATACAAATTTTTTGTATGTGGCTGGCCACATGGTGCGGCAAGGGTTACTTGTAGGGTGTTACAGGTTTTGTCAGGGGTTACTTGTAGGTGTTACTTGTATTCTGGGGTTACTTGTATGGGTGTTACTGGTTTTGTCAGAGTGTTACTGGTTTTGTCAGAGGTTACTTATAGGTGTTACTTGTATTCTGGGGTTACTTGTATGGGTGTTACTGGTTTTATCAGGGGTTACTTGTATATGTTACTTGTATTCTGGGATTACTTGTATGAGTGTTACTGGTTTTGGTCGAGATTACTTGTAGGGTGTTACTGGTTTTGTCAGGGGTTACTTGTAGGTGTTACTTGTATTCTGGGGTTACTTGTATGGGTGTTACTGGTTTTGTCAGGGGTTACTTGTATGTGTTACTTGTATTCTGGGGTTACTTGTATATGTTACTTGTATTCTGGGGTTACTTGTATGAGTGTTACTGGTTTTGGTCGGGATTACTTGTAGGGTGTTACCGGTTTTATTAGGAGCTACTTATATGTGTTATTTGTATTCTAGGGTAGCTTGTATGGGTGTTACTGGTTTTGATCAGGGGTTACTTGTAGGGTATTACTGGTTTGGTATGGGATTTTGGTCTTGAGTTACTTATAGGAGTTACTCAGAATACAAGTAACTCCATGATACAAGTAACACATATAAGTAACCTCATAATACAAGTAACCCATACAAGTAACCTCAGAATACAAGCAACACCCTACAAGTAACCCTAGAATACAAGTAACACCCTACAAATAACCCCATAATACAAGTAACCCTAAAATACAAGTAACTCGTGCCGCACCATGTGGCTTGCCGCACTGAAAAACCTCTGATTGTTCAATTATTAGTATAGTCCAGTTTATTTAATCTGGATTCATTTTTTTCCTTTCATTATTCCTTTTTTTTTTTTACATTGCTCCTGTGATTCGTAAGAGAAGTATTGATTGTAACTAGACCTAAATGAGAAGATTGTGATTATTGCAGACGTGGCGGAAGCTAAAACTGCTTTATGAACTTCAAATTATTAATGTTGGGGAGTTTGGAAGAACAAATACGGAGTGGTTTTGATATGTAGTATTAGTCCTATTCAATTTTTGGGATTATGTTGTGAAGTAAATTAGTTTTGGGATTATGTTGTGAAGCACTCCCGTAAATTAGTTTTGGGATTATGTTGTGAAGTAAATTACTTTGGGATTATGTTGTGAAGTAAATTACTTTGGGATTATGTTGTGAAGTAAATTACTTTGGGATTATGTTGTGAAGTAAATTACTTTGGGATTATGTTGTGAAGTACTCCGTAAATTTGTATGGGATTATGTTGTCCGTAAATTTGTTTGGGATTATGTTGTGAAGTACTCCGTAAATTAGTTTTGGGATTATGTTGTGAAGTAAATTAGTTTTGGGATTATGTTGTGAAATACACCGTAAATTTGTTTGGGATTATGCTGTGAAGTACTCCGTAAATTAGTTTTGGGATTATATTGTGAAGTAAATTAGTTTTGGGATTATGTTGTGAAGTAAATTAGTTTGGGATTATGTTGTGAAGAACTCCGTAAATTAGTTTTGGGATTACGTTGTGAAGTAAATTAGTGTCTTCGTTGGGTTTTATTGATTAAACCGGAGTGTAAATGTTGGTCTAGCACTCTAGCATGGTTTTTTGTTTCAAAAGTGATAGAATAATGGCAGAAATCTTCAATAAATAGTAATTTTAGTTATATCTTTCTCTTTATTATATTTTAAAGCCAAGCATTGGAAATTTGTGTAAATCACTTTAGTTTCTCTAATTTTTCTCTTTAGACTAGCGAAACAATAAAAAGTTGTGTTAATTACGTAAGTTTTTCAACTATAGACTGTCAAAGAAGTGAGAAAGTTTTTAAATTTTACTTGTCTAGAGTTTTCACTCTGTCATACATATGGAGAAATAAGAAAAGGAACTATTCTGAATATCTGTTTATTTTTGTTCAATTTTAATGTTCAAATTTGGTGGTTTAATGGATTGTTTAAGGAATTATGCCGCACAATCCTGGTGAATTCTGTGAAATTTATTTGATTTTGTTTGGCTGTGGAGTATTTTTGAAGTTGTGGGAATTGAATTAAGTTGAATTTAGGGGTGTATACCCTAAAATTTGTGGTGGATCTAAGATAAAGTTAATTGTAAAGGGAATGGTAGCGTTCATTGTAATAGTATTTTAATATAATGAAGGATATAAACAAAATAAAACCTGCAGCCCCTGTTCTTTGTTCACTGCTGCTCTTTAATGGAGGCCTTCCCATCTCACGCATCCCTTCGAAATGTATTGTGTTGTTGCTTCTGTGCGTGAGTTGAGGGAGGTGTAGAAGGTGCTGTTTGGTGAAATAAACCATTTTATAAACCTAACTGCAAATGCTTCATTAGGAAAATAAGCATCTCTCCCATTATGTTAATCTACTTAAAGTCTTCAATCATCTCACACATTTTTTATTTTGTTAATCTCAACCATGCACATATAAAATAACATCTTAAAACCCTTTATATATGCAACATGAATCATAACAGACCATGGGTTCTAACAATAACAAACTACATATTCTTTCTACAACGTAAAATCTAATCCTTATGGATTAGCAAAACCGTGTAGAACTCTTACCAAATAATTCAAGAAATTAAGAACAGGCCTAACAACTGTCTAGTACACAAAACATCATTTACCACCCTATGCCTTCACATCAACATATCGGTATATCCAATACAACTAACTAGAGATAGCAACATATAAATAGCTTGAAACATTGTTTAATTTGAAACTTGGCCAAAGATGCTCAAATCCACATCATTACAATTTCTAGTTCATTCACCTTTTTCTTCATTGATATCTAATGCTCCCCTTTCTTGGTCATCCCTTTTATTTCCTCGATTAACTGGTCAAGATTTGAATATGAAGACCCCCCTTCACTTATGCTCTTCTTTGCTAAATGTGAGAGTTTAGACACGGATGTTCTCAGCTCGTCCTTCTTTCTCTCCATAAGATCGTTGATCATGTTCTCCACTATTTTTCTATCACATGTATCCTTCATATCGAGGCCAATTTTCCAGACTTCACTGATGAATCTGCTGTCCACCAGATGATCAGAAAAGTAAGGCCAACAAAGCATTGGCACCCCAGCCACTATGCTTTCCAACACCGATCCCCTTCCACTATGGGTGAAGAACCCACCAACAGCACGGTGAGCCAATACTTCTTCCTGTGGTGCCCAGCTCACTATGTATCCTCTCTCCTTGGTTCCTTGCACAAGGTCATCGTGAGCTGGACTTTCTGAGCCACTTCCTGTAATGTTATCGGACTTTATGACCCACAGGAAGTACTTCTTACTCTGCACTAGTCCTGCCCAAAATTCCATCAGCTGGTCCTTTGTGAAGGTAGTAATGGTACCAAAACTTGCATAGACAACGGATTTTTCAGGCTTTTGGTCCAACCATGAAATGCAACTTCGATCAACTTCCCACAAGTCGCTAGAGGAGGTGTTGGACAGTGTTGTGTCTTTTGGGTTGAGCCTGTATTTTAAGTGAGCATGTAGTGGACCTATGGTGTAAACACCTCTCCAGTGCTCACGAATGAGAGAGAGTATGGGACCCTCCAGATCCTCAAATGTGTTGAGAATAAAGGTGTGAGCTTGTTTGATTTTTTGTATCTCGCCATTGAATTGGTCTTGAAGCTTTCCGAAAACAGATATGTCTTTGTCTCGGAAGAAGCAAGGAAGGTCACGGTACCGGAGGAAGCTATCCATCCCAGGTGCATTCTTTACTAGCTCATCCATATCTTCATCTATTATAGTTCATTGTAATTCATAGCAAGAGAATTAAAAGCCATTAGAAAGTTACCAAAATATTCAATGAGGATTATGCTTTCTAAAATTTTGTTTAGAGTATGTTCTATGCCAGACATCGGTGATCAGTTACCATTGAATATATTTTAATGTTATAGTTTCATTTGGCTGCGTTACTTTAGTATGATTATCATATCTCATGGTGCTTGGTTGGTTGGACATAGTATCACTTCCAGTGTTGTGATTCCTAAGAGTTTCATTTTTGGGGAGTTGATTATTGGGGAAACTGTTATTACTTTGTTGAATTCACATATTAACAGATTTTTAGTTATTATATCTCTTTGTAAAGTTTATGAAATTAATTTTAATTCTAATTCTAATTCTAATCGAACTTGAGCTTCTTTGTAATATATAATGTACTACTTTTGTTAAATTTTAGTTGCAATAATCATACCCTTTTATTGCCTAAAAATTAACAAAGTAATTTTTTAATATTAATAAAACCTAAATTGATATACATTTAACAAATAATTGATAAAACATTTTTTAATCAATGTTTTATCAATTGTTTGTTAAATGTATATCAATTTAGTTCAATACTAAATGTATTTTTGGTTTCTGTTATGTAATTGCAACATTTTACATCTCTAAACTGCTTTATAAAAGAGCATGTAGAAGGTTATCTATACCTTTGAATGGTAATTCCCCTGCAGCAATCATCTTTGGCAAACATTGGAAAGTCCAAATGAAGTTTGCACCAGTAGTAATAAATGTAATCACTGGTAACTTAACCTCATTATCTACATCATTAGCATAGCTCATCCATCCATCTAATATTAAACATGTAACTTCATCTTTTCCTACAAAATTGTCCTTCAAAAGGGGCTTAACACTTGACGCTAATGCCGCGTGCATTTCTCTAAACCAGGTTTTATCACCAGAACGTGGGTGGTCATCGGGAAGCCCATCAGGTACCGTCTTAAAGGTAAACCCAGGATAACGGCCAAAACGAGCTTCGATGTCAGTGTGCTTGGCAAGTCGTTTTTGGTTGTAGGTTGTGTTTAGGAAGGTTACCTTAAGATTTGCTAGGCATAAAATTTCTGCTAAGTTTAGCATTGGGGTTAAATGGCCTTGCAATGGGACTGGAAAGATTAAAACATGAGGTGTAGGATATGATTTGTGTTCCATTTTTGGTACTACTTACAATATTTTTGGTCTTGGAATTTAGATTGGTATATTTGCCAAGTTGGGTGTATAATATATTTGCCAAGTTGGGTGTATAATATATTTGCCAAGTTGGGTGTATAATATATAGTTGTAGTATTAGTATATGTTGGATAGAAGTAGAAGAGTATTGTTTCCTCGAGAGAAACGTGGATCTTAATTTCTGAATCATGCAATTTTGTTACTTTTGTCTATGTATACGATGGTACGATATTGAATCTGAGTGAATTCGAATGTTGACATGGAAAAGTTTGTACATTTTAATTCTAACAAATTGTAAAACATGTAAAATACGAAGTATTATTTAAAAGTTAGTTTACGAAAAAAACAAAAGGAATTATTGGTCTCCTTGGCTCGTGCCTCATGGGCTCGTGGCCCTCGTAGGCCTCGTTGGGCAATTATTTTTGTAAAGTATAATACTTTAGTCAGTGTTATGTCTGGATTGATACTCTAAATATTATTGTGATAAGAATGATTACTAGCTTTTACCCCGTGTAATGTACAAATTGTTTAAGTAATCGCCAATCGGGTTTCAATTAGATGTATTCATTCACATTATTAAATTAGGGAGAATATGAAAGAAACTTCATTCAATACGTAAATTAAATTAGTAATAAAATTATTTAAAAAAAAAAAAAAAAAAAAGTATATACTTCGTATAAGACTAGATGGGTAAATTAATATGAAGTATATGCATTGCGAGAAACATCCACCTGAAGCAGATGGTACTGTAAGATTTTTTATTCATTTCTAGAATGGTCTTAAATGCTTATTATTATACTATATTAATATTAGTAGCTTTAAGGCTCGCCAGTGCCCTCGTACTCTCGTACTTTCCCCCCTTGGTGGGAAACCGTCCTTAGATTTTATTCTTATTAATATTAATATTTTAAGTTAAAAGGATAACATTAAAAATTGCACAATATCAAATATTGTTCAAACTATGTTCTATTTTTCTAATTGTATGTGAGTGGAATTTTTTTTTGTAAATACCCGATTTACACTAATATTAGTGTATATCGAGGAGTATAGGGTAACTTTTAGCTCATTTTAGGGTAATCTTTTGCCTTTTTTGGGATAACTTTAAACATAATATAATTTTTATATAAATAGACGACAGAAAAAGTTTTATAAAGATAATTTAATTACATTCAATCACTAATAATTGATTTTTAGTCATTTAAAAGGTGATTCTTTAGTAATACCGCGCAGATAATTTTTATTTGTATTGTGTTCCTTTTATGCATATTGGGTTAACTTTTATTCATTTCAGGGGTAACTTTTGATCACTTTAGAGTTTAAACTATCTTTATAATGGATGTACAATAATTATTGTACACCCGATTTTTTTTAAAAGTTTGTGTTTCACTTTTAAAGACCTCATAATTTTAAATCACTGTTAACCAACTTATACTCAAGAGTAGTAGTGAAAAATAGCTTAAGTGGTTAGAAAATCCTTTCCGATTTCAGGAGATCCTGTGATCGATTCTCACTATCCTCCTTGTGGCTTTCTAAAAAAAAAATAGTATAGTGTTATATATATGAGATATCTAAAAATATATGTGTTCTGATATCTCATATCTCTAACATAAAGTTTGGGTCATGGTTTGCATAATTTATGATGACATGGACTATATGTTTTTGAAATTCGTAAACTTTAATTTCATCAAAGGCTACAAATAACTTTCATCAAGTTACATTATGCTTTATGATTTTATTTGGTTAAACGGATTCCTCAAAAACTGAGTGTTAAGTTAGAGTTGAATGGACTTAAACCAAACAATTTCATCAAATGAACGAATTAGTAAACCAAAATATAACGATTTACAGCTAGTAACCTCTCTACCTTCATTAGAAGAACGAAATATAATTAGTGTTCCTCTTTCTTGATCATCCCTTTTATTTCCTCGATTAGATGGTTAAGATTTGAATAAGATGATCCGCCTTCACTGATGCTCTTCTTTGCTAAGTTCGACGTTTTACTCATTGACCCTTGTAGCTCGTCCTTCTTCCTTTCCATAAGATCATTGATCATGTTCTTTACTATAGTTCGATTACATGAATCCTTCATATCTAGGCCAATCCTCGAGACTTCACTTACAAATCTGCTGTTCACTTGTTGATCACCAAAGTAAGGCCAACAAAGCATTGGTACACCAGCTACAATGCTCTCTAGTGTCGAGTTCCATCCACTATGTGTCATGAATCCACCAATGGCTCGATGAGCCAAAACTTCTTCCTGTGGTGCCCAACCTACCATGTATCCTCTTTCCTTGATCCCCTCCAAGAGGTCATCTTGAATTGGACTATTTATGTCGCATTTTGTTATGAGATTGGGACTTACAACCCAAAGAAAGTACTTCTTACTCTGGACTAGTCCAGCCCGAAGTTCTATCAGCTGATCTTTTGTGAGCATAGTTGAGCTACCAAAACTTACATAGACAACAGATTTGTCCGGCTTTTGGTCTAACCACGATATGCAACTTCGATCAATTTCCCACAGGTTACTAGAGGAGTTCTTGGACAATGTTGTTTCTTTTGGACTGAGTCTGTAATTTAGGTGAGCATGAAGTGGTCCTATGGTGTAGACCCTTGAGCAATGCGAACGGATGAGAGAAAGAAAAGGGCCTTCCAATTCCTCAAATGTGTTAATTACGACGGACTGTGCTTCCTCAATTGCTTGTACCTCACTAGTGGACATGTCTTGGATATATTGACAAGAAGATGTGTCTAGGTTTCGGGAGTAGCCAGGAAGGTCACGATAGCGAAAGAAGCTGTCAATCCCAGGTGCATTCTTTACTAGCTGATCCATTTTATCATCTGATATTAAATGAAAATAAAGATTATCAGAAAGTTACATGATAAAATCATAATGCCACCAAAATAATAAAAAAATTAAGGATAATGCTTTTTAGATGTTCTTAGATTGATGTTCCTAGAACATATTTTAATTATCCAGGTTTATTTGGCTGCAACATTTGCCTAAGTAGACAAATGGATGATTACTGCAACATCCTACAGTTTTTACTCTTCCTGTGTATGATTTCTGCAGATTGCTAAGTAGTGTATCTCAAACTCACCCTCATGAATACAGATGTTATATTACAATAGTCTATTACTCGCTCGATCCCATCCTGCCTGTGATCAGCTCTGTCATTGAGCCTCTATTACTTGATGACCCTGAAAAATTATGCTTAGAGATGCATCCAGTGTGTGCCACTGAACGGTATTTTCCCTGTTTTAATAGTTGTTTCTGCTGATCCAACCTAAATCTTTCTCAAAAGGTACCAAATCCTTCAACCAGCAGCCCCTGTGTTTGATCTCTCCAAGCTTAGGGTGTTCATTGGGCAATCTGTCTGGCATTGTCCTGAACCCGAGTTCTCGGTACAGGCAAAATGGGCTTTGAGATATGTGTATCGTAATAGAGGTTGGTGTATGTGGGTTGTGTTTAATAGTGTTATCTTATAGTCTGCAAGACAAAGAAGTTCAGCTTAGTGTAGTGTAGCATTGGGTTTACATGGCCTATTAAAAGGCGGTGAAATTATGAGTACATGAGGTGAAGGTGAAGAACTATTGAGGATGTTACATAATAGCCTAGCCTAATATTGAGACTAATGAGGGTTCATCTGAGGAACTAGAATCTTTAGACTATTGCAAAAATACTAATATTATGCTGAAAATTCTGTAACAATTCACAATTTCACATGTAACTACAATACTTTCTTATTAGATCTAAACAATCTTTAATTTGTTCGTTAACTGAAATTTTAGGTGTTCGATTTTTATATGGCCTTTGCTTTTTCCAATGACAAAATTTATTTATTAGATATATACTTAACATTTATGCACGCACATAGATGTGGGGTTATGCAAATTATGGATGGGCATAAATCCGATCCAAAATTTAGGATATCCGATTTGCTTTTTATGTTCCAGAAAGGATATACAGAAAATTCCGGATAGCCATTTAATATTTTCAGATATCCAAAATATTCAGTTTTTTTAAAAATAGCATATTCAAGTTTTTGTCAATCTGAATGGCAAAAGGTAGTGATTACCTTTGAAGGGTATTTCCCCTGCTTCAATGAGCTCTGAAGTACATTTAATAGACCAAGTGAAGCATGCACTTCCAAACCTAACTGCAATAACTGGTACCTTTGCTTCCTTTGCTAAATCTCTAGCAAAGCTCATCCACCCATCCAATAAAAAACAAGTAACCTTATCTATTCCTGTTGCATTAACCAATATTTCCCTCAGTTGGGGTTTAGCACTTGATGGCAATGTTTGTAGCATTTCTCGCAACCAATCACCACCCAATCGTGGATGGTCATCAGGATGGCCATCGGATATTGTCTTGAACCTGAACCCGGGATAGCGAGCTAAACGAGCTTCGATGTCAGTGTGCTTGGTAAGGCATTGCTGGTTATGGATTGTATTTAGGAAGGTTATCTTTACATTTGCTAGACATAATAGTTCAGCTAAATTTAGCATAGGGGTTACATGACCTTGTGCAGGAAATGGAAAGATTAGTACATGTGGTGCAAGTGAATGTTGGTCCATATTTTGTTATCAAATTTCTGATTCTGTTATTCTGATGATAATATGAAATGGCTATGTTTTCTGGTTGATGAAATGATGTACTGCCCTCGAGGAAAACGTGGCCACATTACTCTTAACTTAAAGTTATCTCTAATTTAATCTAAAAAGAGTGATTCTCGTGTGAGCCACGTGTGTATATGCAAAAAAACAACAATAATATGTATAATGTTGATGCTGCCGCTGCCGCTGCTGCCTGGCAGCTAATGTTGGCAGTGGCAGCGGCAGCATCAACATGATGTGCTAGGCAGCGGCAGTGGCATCGACGTGTTGTCATCCCCTTTGTTAGAAGCGTGTATTAGTTTCGAACATCCTTTGCTTCTCGCCTTCTCTACAAGACTACAACCAACTGTGGTAGCTCCGTAGCTGCTATCTCTTATTAGTTTGGAACAAACTGCTACTTTTACAACTTTGGGTAATGTGGTTTCATGCATAAATGCATTTTCCATCTAGCAACTGCATTTCCTACCATCTTAACATGACATTTAAATCTTCCGTTGATGCCTCGTGTCATTTATGAGTTATTTAATTTAGGCTTATTTGTAAATTACCACCCAAAAAGAGGTCCAGTTTTGAAATTACCACCCAGTAAAAACTTTATTTTAAATTACCACCCATTAAATTAAAAAAACGCTCAGATTACCACCCATTTTGTTTTTCCGGTGGAATTTCCGTTAGTGGGCCCCACTTTTTTTATTTTTTTCCTTTTTTTTCTTCTATTTTCTGGCTTTCTCACTCTCTCTCCCCGATTTTTCACTCTTCTTCTTCCTACCTTCTTTCTTTCTTTTCCCAACCACCACCACCACCACCATTGCTCCACCTTTCCCCTCCTCTTCCCCCGTCGCGCCTGCCAACAACCCGCAACAACAACTAAGGGTCGTATTCTATTAAGCTCCTTTTCAAAGGGTGGTCTTGCAGCACCGTCCGATATCGTCCTCCCTTTCCCTCCTTCGATCTCAGCTCCAACAGCTGCAAAACCACTGCACAAAGTGCAAAGTAGCAGCTGCCCACCAAAACAACCACCATTATTCGCCAAAAACAACTCCCTTGTTCGTCGGCCTCCTCCCTTCCTGAAACAACCACCATCCCCTTTTTCGCTGCCCCCCAAAACCCTAAAACTCACCTAATTTAAAACAACCCGAAAAACAAAACTCGCTTAGGGTTTTTAAACAACCCATAAAACGGTTGGTTTTTGGGTTGTTTCAGGTAGGTTTTGTGGCCATTGTAGGGATGTTTCAGGTAGGTTTTGCTGGTGCGTGTTGTAGGGGTAATTTTAGTGGTGGTGGTGTGATGGAGCGGCGAATTGGAGGTGCTGGTGGTGCGAATTGAAGGTGCTGGGGTTTGAATTGGAGGTGATGGTGGTGCAAATTGGAGGTGTTGGTTCACAAATTGGTGGCTGTTATGGTGTGAATTGGTGGTTGTTATGGTGTAATTTTGAGGTACTGGTGGTTAATTCGGCGGCTAACGGTGATTGCAGTCATGGTGGCGAGGTGAGGTGGCTACTCTCTTCTGGGACCATTGCTGGGCCACTTCAACTCCTTTGCGTGAAGCTTGCACTGCTGCTATACCTGCTGCCATAGAGGGAGCTACAGTAGGTGAGTTATGGGATAAAGGGGTGGGCTGGAAATGGGATTGCTTTGCTCATCTTCTGCCAGAATATGAATTGAAGTGTATAGCCTCCCATAGCCTAGCTGAAGACCCTGATGCTTGTGATGTGCATTATTGGAGAGGTCCAAAATCGGGCGGCTTCTCAACAAAATATGTGTATCAAATAATGCAAGACCATGACAATGTTCCTACTAACCCCAAATGGGGATTAGCTTGGAAAGCACCAGTTTCACAAAGAATCTGCACCTTCCTCTGGTTATGTCTCCATGACCGTGTGCTTTGTAATGCTAACAAGCACAAAAGAAAGAAAAAAAAAAAAGTGAAAAATCGGGGAGAGAGAGTGAGAAAGCCAGAAAATAGAAGAAAAAAAAGGAAAAAAATAAAAAAAGTGGGGCCCACTGACGGAAATTCCACCGGAAAAAACAAAATGGGTGGTAATCTGAGCGTTTTTTTAATTTAATGGGTGGTAATTTAAAATAAAGTTTTTACTGGGTGGTAATTTCAAAACTGGACCTCTTTTTGGGTGGTAATTTACAAATAAGCCTTTAATTTAATACGCCCAAAAAAATCAAAAAATAAAAAACAAAAAAAAGAGTAAAATTTAGACACATCTCCTTGCTAATTGGTATTCTTGCTAATTGCTACTGTCATTTGGGCAGAGTTGATTTCGGATTCTCTCTCCTTGCTAAAACACTTAAGCTTGGTTATCCCCTTGATTCTGTCATTTTTAATACCTTAATTAATGGCTATATTCACTCTGATAAGCTCCCCCAAGCTGCTCATTTGTTGAATCAAATTGTCAAGCTTGGTTTACAACCCAACTTAATTATGTATAGTACTATTGTCAAAGGACTTTGTAGGATTGGCGACAATACGTCTGCTCTCACTTTGCTTAACAAAATGCAATCTCGATCTCATTTTAAGCCTAACATTGTTTTATACAACACTATTATCGATAGTCTTTGTAAGGACAGGTTGTTACATCAGGCCCTAGACCTGTTCTCCTCTATGAAAACCGAGGGCATTAAACCCGATGTTGTCACTTATAATTCCTTGATTCGAGGCCTCTACAATTCCGGCTGTGGGGATGAGGCTCAGCGTATGTTGACTGAGATGTTAGAGAGCAACATTGCACCTAATGTTCAAACCTACAACATGCTGGTTGACATGTTTTGTAAAGATGGTTGTGTTGATCAAGCTCAGTCCATTCTAAAGCACATGATTGAGAAAGGTGTGACTCCTGACATCATTACTTATACTGCCTTACTGGATGGATATTGTTTGCGTGGTCAGATGGAAGATGCAGAGAACCTACTCGTTCTCATGGCCGAAAATGGTTGTGAGCCTGACCTTTTCAGTTTCAACACTATGATTAATGGATATTGCAAGGCTAAAAACATTGACAAGGCCCTTAACATTTTCCAAGAGATATTTCGGAAAGATATAACACCTAGTGTTGTTACCTATAGCACTCTTATTGATGGACTGTGCAAAGCCAATAGACTCCCACACGCGCATAATCTGTTCAAGGAAATGCTAGCTGCCGGAGTTACTCCAAATGTTGTCACCTATGCCTCCTTGCTTGACAACCTTTGCAAAAGTGCGCAACTTGATGAGGCAGTGAAATTGCTTGAAGAAATGGAGGATAATGGTGTTAAGCCAAATGTTGTCATCTACAATATCCTAATAGACAACTTGTGTGAGTCTGGAAAACTTGAAGATGCCGCAAAGTTCTTTTCAGATCTTGTAACAAAAGGTCTGGAACCTAATGTGAAAACATACAATATACTGGTTAAAGGCTTCTGCAAGAAAGGGCTCACGAGTGAAGCTGCTCGAGTGTTGAGGATAATGGAGGAAGATGGTTGCCCCCCTGATGATCGAACCTATAATACGATAATCAGAGGTTATATACTCAACAATGACTTATCAAATGCATTATACTATCGTGATCTTATGGTTGGCAAGGGATTTGAAGCTGATGCAGACACTTTGTCATTGTTTGTTGGTCTATTGCCTTCTGATAACTCATGTGACTCAAAGAAGGACCTGCTTCAGAAGTTTATTAGCTGAATTTTAGTTAAAATGCATGTGAAGATTTTGGACCTTCAATATGTTTCTGCTGAGAAAGTTGAGGTGGAGTAGGATGCTCCTAGACAATCTATGAATAACAGACCGTTGTTAGCTCCATTTGGCATGTTTCTTGTGAGCTTTGGTGCAGAGATCACCAAAGAACAATGGTATCTTGTTTGTATCCAGATGCTTTACAACTTGGTTTGGTAAGAATTTCTGAACTTTAATATATATTATGGTCCTTTTGTTTATTGTTAACAATGTAATGCCCTGTGAGTTCGCATTGGATTTTTTAGCTTGTAAGAAAAAAGTGCATATGAAAAAAAAAAATGTAAATGTGATAGAATGTAGTGAACCTTATTCTTTTTAGTGAAATGAATTAAGTAAAAAATGAATAAAAGAGAATTATTGCCAATTGTGGATATGGGCAAACTAAAGTTGAATACGGAGTATGTTGTTTGATGATTTTGCTTGTTTTGAATGAAGGATTGAAGGGTGAAGGAAGTTGCAAAGCTCATTAAATTCCACATCACTTCAAAGCCTCAGGTTGATATATGTGTGATGTGCCTCTGCTAGACAAAAGTTGATGATGAGTGAAGCTAGTCAAGTGTTGAGGATAATGGAGGAAGATGGTTGCCCCCCTGATGATGTTACCTATAATACGGTCATTAGAGGTTACATTCTCAATAATGATTTGTCAATAGCATTACTGTGATGTTATGGTTTGCCAGGGATTTGAAGCTGATGCAGACATCAGAAACTTATCAGCTGAAAAGAAACATTGACAAAGCCCTCAACTTTTTTTAAAGTAATGTAAATGAAATAGCACCTGATCTTGTTACCTATTGCATGTTTTCTGGATTGTGTAAAGCCAGTTTATTCCCACTTGTGCATAAGCTGTTCAAGGACATGTTTTTCAGATGAAAAGAAACATTGACAAAGCCCTCACCACCTATGCTTGCTTGTTTGCTTCAATATTGCACGATTTGAAGAGACAATGGCAATACTTGAAGCTACAGGTAATAAGGATTTTGAGCCTTCTATGCTTTACCTTTTTGCCTACTTGTGAGGATTCATGTTAGCCAGCCTCTATTCATTTTGGGACTAAGGCTTTTGTTGTTGTTTTGTTTGTGTGATGCTGTGAAACTTGAATTTTCAACAATCAAAGGCTTTTGCAAGAAAGGGTTATGAGTGTAGCTGTCAAGCTATTCTGTAAAATGGAAGTAAAGGGCTGCTTCCTCGATAGTGCCTCAGGTACTTTTGTAGTTCGATATTGTAACTTAATTTTTTATGATGTCATATCTTCTTAATGAATTGTGCCTCAGTTATATTCTCTGTACCACCTCTCTTTCTTCAATGTCAGTTTGATGTCTTTAATTAAGTGGTTTTATAGGCAATTAGCCTTCTAAATATTATTATCTCTTTCTTATGTCCTCATTATTGTCTATTGTGTCAAAGCTTGCAGTGTGACATTAAGTTGTTAGTATTACACATCCCTTTAATTGCTTGTGCTCTTGCGGAATGATGAAAGCAATATAATTAGCTAAGACCTAGAACTGAGATTTTAACGCCAAAACACTTGGAATATGATTAGTATGTTTTGAATGTTAGAATTGCTAAGACCTAAAATCAGTATTGTTGCTACGTAGTATGTTTGCTTCTGGAAATTTTCTGTTAGCTTCACAGATTTAGATGCTTTTAGTTGCCATTAGTTTTCCTGAGCCGAGAAGTCTTGCTTGCTGCATCATTTCGAATATGTGACTTATTTCCTTTTCTAGTTCAACCTTATTATATGCCTCTGTATTGATGAAGACGTAGAACTTAGACCTTTGAAGCCTGATGCAGGATTGCAATCGCCAGTGAAGAATTCAACCAATCTGTATATCACATGAGAGTATGAGACTCTCTCAATCAAATTTATCATCAAAGAAATTTTAACCAAGTTTTTTTTGGCAGTAGGCTGATGCAGACAATTTGAACTCAACTTGTGGTGTGTATGCTTGGTTATTTTGCTTTTCGGGTCTAATTAACCTTAAGTTTACATGAAACAAACTCAATTGGATTATAAACATAATTATATTTTGGTTATTAGGAGTCTAGAAGCCTTAAAATTTTTAGGTGCAACAAGAGCTATAAAATTTCCTTTAATTCATTATTTAAACCTTGAAAATCGATTACACAGGACTGTCAAGCTATATGCCTATAATAAACACAACTACTGCTAAATACATGCAGAAGCTACATTTATGCACTGTAAGTAATACATTAGTTCAATAAATTGAATTAGTATACATACTAACTTCTTCATTGTCAAATATCAATCATAGCTGCACTTTTACACAAGTTTTAGTTTACAGAACAGGGGAATTCAGATCTGAACTTTGGTCATCTCAACTATCTCCTTGAGATTAAAGGGGTGAGAATAAGATTTAGGGCCGTTAAATGCCGCTAAAGCTAGGAGCCTGTGAACAGCTTCTGTTGGATGAAATGCATCCCAGAAAGCATATTGATTCCTGTTTAAACATGGTATTAGTAAAGGAAGACACATTTTTTCTGCATTATTTCGCCCCACTCCACAGCATGCTCTCTCCAATTCTGTTAATCCTGCAATCCACAGATGATTACTAACATTAGACAAATGTGAACTGAGGTTGGATTTTTTTAGGATATCTTTCTCCATTTTTTGTTCTCCATAACTTATAAATGTCTCGTATTAACAAAGTTTTGGACAATCATCTAATACCAGTTTTAAAGAAAGGGCATTTGCAGGTATTCTAAGATTTGCTTCCAATTAACATTTCTTACCAAATTGGGAAGGATGAGCAAGTATATCCGTCAGAGCCTGGAAAGTATCTCCAAAAATAAAAGTTGCATTTGGGTGTGTGACATTAAATTGATCAACCAAGGTTCTTAGCCTTATGTTGAACATTTGAACCACATCATTGCTGAAGTTAACACATTTATCAGCAGGCAGTTGAGCCGCTGTTTTCTGAGAAGGGGTGCAGCCAATTGGCCCTACTCCAGCCAAGAAGAACAACCTTAGACCTTGATCGTATAGTGCCTGTGTAGAAGGTGAGACGGTGTTAATGGCAAGGTTCACATGTACCCTTATTTCTTAGAATTACATTGTGAAGCAAATCAAGTCCTATTGTCTAAGAAAGGTTTGAGTTGCTTTAAACGTTCATGTCATATTCTTAAGAAGACTCTATTATGCAAACAAACGCATTTATACTTTAACTATTATAATGAGTAACTCGTAGTTGATCTCGAGGATACATAAACACCCTATTTCATATCTTTTTGATATTTTAGGAATTTGTGTTGATAGGTAATTTTGGTGTAAACTTAGAAGGCATGGATGGTTATGACACTACCCGAGTGTATGATGGATATCTTACAATTTGTCGTACCTGAATTTGTTTTGTGTATTGGCTGATGACAATATCAGCATAATTTTCGGGCTTGAATTTAGATTGACTTGGGTAAGTTGGATTGAGGTAATTGTTTACATAGTCATTGCTTCCTAGTATAACCACTGCCAAAGCCTTTGTAAGGTATTGTTGCAACTCCGTCTCATTCATATGATTCTGCAACTGTCTTTTGGTAATTCCGAAATTCCGAGCCTGTAGACTGAAGCTAAACCTTTCTCCCTGTCACAAATTACACTCATCATTAGGGCCCTGTTTGGTTTGATGTAAAAGGTTTTAATGGAAAATGAATTTTCCATTTTTCCTCATTTTCCTTTGTTTGGTTTGTTAAAGAGTGGAAAACAATTTTTCAAGGGTGGAAAATTCTATCCTTAATAATGGAAAATATTTTCCTTCCAAAAACAAGGAAAGCCACATTTTCCTCTCTCCTCCTTACTTCTTTTTTTACTTCCCTCTCATTCATCCTTACATTTCCACTCTTATTTTTTATTTTTTGGACTTTTCTTGTATGCAACCAAACAAAGGAAAACTAATTTGCAATTGTGTTATTCCTTGAAAATTAGTTTTCATAAAATATGTTTTCCATGAAAACTAATTTTCCATTGAAAATGTTTTACATTAAACCAAACGGGGCCTAGATTTCACCAAGGAAATAAGACCAAATTAGAGGAATAACATGTCTAAATATGATACCGATCAAATGATAATACACGTCTTAAAAAATTTTAAAGAAAATGTTTTTTTTTTATTTGGCATAAATAATGGCCGTCTTTGCTTTTCAAATCGGCCTAAAACTTAAATTTATAATACATTGTATAAAAGTACGAGTTAAAAAATAAAAATAAATAAATAAAGATGTGATGAGAAGATTTATGGACAAGTTGAGATTCTAAGGATTAAGAGGAAATTTACCAAGGCTTGTCCACTTTCTTCAAGAATTCCCCCGGCAGCTGAGGCGTAATTTACACCATACATGATGTCTCTATCAGTAGAGAAGGGATTTGCAAAAGGTGGTAAATAGGGAAGTCCTAGCGATTCAGCTGCATAAATAATTTAGTTCATAAAGTATGAATATATGACATGTTAAATAAATTAAAAGGAAAGAAACAAAAAAAAAAAAACAATTTCAAATATGGATGGGTTATATAAATTAAGAAGATCAAACCAATCAATCAAAAAAAAATCAACTATATAAGCATAGTAATGGATTGTGTGATTTGTGTTGACATGGTGCAACCCTGCCTAAGCCTTGGTGGTCATGTCCTGCCAGCCATCCTAGGGACCTGGCCGTACGTTGTGCCATGCTATACCTTTAGAAATCTACTAGTACATTGCGTTGTCACAACTCATTTTACGTCTTATTTATTGATTTTTTTTTTTTTTTTTTTTTTTTGTTTTTGAAATTCTAATTCAAACTCACTATAAACTTGTTTCATGCAATACAAAGTAAAGTAAAAAGTAAATTCGCGAATAGAAATGAGATTAATGAAATTACAGAGAAAGTCGATTATGGTTTTCCCGTTGGTGAATCTTCCGGTAGGGCCTTGATAAAAATCAATCCCGTAAGGGTAGAAGTTTGCTTTAGCTTGGGCGGTCAAGTAGTTGTTGTTTCCATTATCAACAAGTGAATCTCCAAAGACGTACATTGCTGTAAATTGTTGAGCACTTGATGCCAATCTAGCATGTAAAAATGCACATATTAGAACTATAAAATTGATAATTCTCAATTTCTTGAGTATTCTCATCAGGCATAAATTCTTCATGATTGATAATATAATGTTAAGGTATATTTTTGGTTCTTTTTTGTTATTTGTTAAAAGGTATACGATCTTCGAAGAAGTATATAATGACTACGTAAAATGTTGTAAGAAAGCATATAAAGAGGGGTTCGCGTTAGTTGGTTTAGATGCACAATTTGTTTGCAAAGTTTGTTAACTTGTGGCCTTTACTCCCAAATTTCCTCTTTGATGCCATAATTTTATGCATGGTTTTTCCTTTTCGTTTCCCTTTTGGTATGACTTTTAGGCTTAAGTAATGGAGGTAAACATAGCTTTTTTTTTTTTAAGAAAACATATTTATTTATTTTATAGATAAATAAAAGGAAAAATTGTGAAAAATAATACAAACTTTGAGCAATCCGTCAAAAACAAGTCAAACTTTTAACTATTTTTTAATAATACAAACTTTGAGTGGTATCTGTTTTAAACAAGTTAAAACCGATTAGTTACCTCATGAACAGGTTATATGGGACACGTGATATTGTATTATTTTTCTAAAATTTTTAAACAACTTTATAAGATAAATAAATAAACAAATCGGCTAAATAAGTTGTAGGTTTTTTTTTTTTTGACAAAAAATAAGTTGTAGGTAAAATAACTTGTTTAAAGCGGATATCCCTTAAAATTTGTATTATTTAGAAATTATTAAAAGATTGACTTGTTTTCAGCAGATCGCTCAAAGTTTGTATTATTTTTGACAATTTTTCCTAAAATTAATAACAATAACCGTAATTTTGGCTAGTCTTTTAGAATATACTTAATTGTGCATTAATCCATCTTCACAACTGAGATAATCTCGTCTTCTTTTTTTTTTTTTTTTTTAAACGAGTGTTATACATAGATAAATTTTTTAGTCCTTCTTATACAAATAGTGGCATTGGACTATTTTGGAGAATATACTTTATAATTCACTTCAATGTTGAGATTAATCTAAGTTAACACATACGATTTAATTTGAATCATAAATTTAAATTAACTTGCTAAAACGAATTTAATTTATTATATTTAAACAGTAACGATGTTAATACTGTATTATATCTTGTACTCCATATAATTTGTAAAAAAAGTCTTTTAACTATGACTTTACAACTTAGAGCTCACATTACCTAGCTTTTTCCAAACATGAATACGCTCAAAATAATTAACAAAAAAAAAATGTAAGCTAAAGGGTGTCACACCAACTTGTTTGTTTGCTAACGAAAAATCATGTTATTCTCCTTGCAAGTAAACTTGAAGCATAAATATCATGTACAAAAGGATGAAAGTTGTGGGCAATGACAGACAAATCCAGAGGCTAAGTATGGATCAATACATACTTTGAAAGCATTGTTAATGGTTGTGATCATAATTCATGAATAAAGGATGTCTACATGATATGATATGCCTTGCCTTTTTCCATGAAATATATACTCAAGAGTCGAGATGCTTACGTTTCTTTAATTTAATTGCCTACTTTGGATAATCTGGGGAGAAAATTAAAATAGAGAATATATATTATAGCTACTTACCGCGATGAGAATCTACACAACTACATCAACTGATCAACATATTTAGGGTTTGATCTATTTATCCGATTTTTCAATTAATTGAACTTATTTAATTAGCTCAAGCAAGATCAGAAACAAGATCAGAGCGAGTTTACAAAAAATATTTGATATTAATTTATCTTGTTTTACTCCCTTTGTTACGGAGTATTATTTATTGGCGCGTGGACGCGTGGTTTTAGATTTTTTATTGACTTTAATATTATACCGAGTGCAAAACTATACTCTCTTGGAGAAAGTATATATTTATACTTTCATCTACTACGTATATCAAAGTATAAAACTCAGAAAGTAATTTATATATATCAAGGCTTGCTAGGTCATATTGGTAATTGATTTATTGGGTAGATTAATAAGGGTGTTTTATATAATTTTTATTTTATTTATGGGGAATCAAAGTGCTTTTTTTTTAGTGAATGAAAAGCACAATTTCTAAATCTAAATTATGCATGCAGTGATAATTAGGTAGTGGACGTGAGGAATTAAGGGATATAATTAGTTAAAGTGGTACATAATTGTAGTTACATTATGCATGAAAGTGGAATTGTGAATCACATGCATATTAAGACGTTTCATGTGAAGGAAGTTAAAGAGAATGGAGAAATGAATTTTTGTAAGCAATGTGGCATGAAAATGCATGACTCATTAATAAGGATCGATGCATATGACTGATATAGTGATATGAGTTTAGATAGTGAATACATATAAATTGCGTGTATAAAATTGATATTTATATAAAATTTTAGTCTTTTTAAGCTATGTTCGGAAAAAATGTGAGATGATGTAAAATCACACCAAATAAATGAGGATAATTATAGTAATATTACTAGTTTTATCCCGTGCAAATGCACGGATTTATAATAATAAGACTTGAAAATTAAAATAAATAAATTAATTAATAAAATTCAATTAAAATGGAGTTAGTTTAAATGAGATGGCTTATATGCAACATTTTTTATTTTTGAATTTGAATTCATATCATGTCTATCCTTAAAATTCTCATGTTAGATACATTATTTAAAATATTTTATAAATTATTGTAAGTTTTTTTTCATTAAATTTTTTTTATCATATTATTTTTTAAGAGAAAAAAAGAAATTTTTAAAAAAAAAGCTAAAAAATATTTGGGCGGGAAATTTTTTGTTGTGAATGTGACATGTGTACTTAAGGGATAACTCTGGTGATTACTTTAGTATATAGTATAGATAGATTATAAGGAAAGAAAATTAGAAAAGAATCTTTTCATAATGCTTGTGGCTCACCCCAAACATCTATATCTATACTCTATACTTTATTATTAGTATTTAAAAACACAAACCATCATTTCCATCATGACACATGTCAACTTTGTTTTTCACCAATGGCACATGCCACCTCACCTTTTCATTAATTCATTCATTAATCCCCTTTATCATAATTAAACATTTAAACCCCACTAGCTTTAATGCAATACATGTGAATATTATTTGATTCACTTTCCCCCCAACTTAATATCTTCTACAATTGCATTCAATTTTCACCCTTCTTCTCTTTTATAAACTATTCTTTTTCCAATCAAAACATATTACAAAATAAAATCTATATTGTAAAAACATTACGTACATTGCACGTGCCAGAAGGCCAGTTTAAATTGATACAGTTTACTCCATAGTTTTTTACCTAGTTTAGAACTAATGATTAATGTATCTTTAAAAAAAAAAAAAATCCCTCAAAAAAAAAAAAAAAACAAACAAACAATCAAACTTGAAAACTTGTACAGTATATGTTTAGAAATTTTAAGCTTGAGTGACATGCTTCCCATCCTAAAAACTATTTTGAGCTTCTTATAAAAGTGTTTCTACTTCTTAAATTTCCCTTGTTTGGTGTAGTTTTTATTTCTTAGATTGAGAGAGAGTTTCAGAAAAATAGGCCAAACAACTCCTAAATAAGTTATTATTTCCAATTTTATTTTATTTTATTTTTTGGTGAAAGGCATTACAAAATTTTTTAATTTTTTCTTTTTCTTGAAAACTGTGATTACTACTCCATAGCTCTTTGATCGAGCATCCATCTTTACCAAAAAGACACAAGTATTGCAAAGCTTCCATCTCCTCATCTTGATTTTAGTACCAGTATAGCAAATATCATTTTGAGGTTCCTTAGTTTTGTAAAGTGGTGGACTTGCACTCTCCCATGACGGGTGCGGCCCAAACCCGTAATTAACATGATATTAGAGCCAGCGTGACACAAAGGTCACGGGTTCGAATCTCATCCGCCCCCTCCTTCAAAGTGGAACTAATTCGCACCAGGTATGTGTGGACCTGTGTTGCATCCACATTTCAAGCCCAAAGGGCCTTTCATGTGAGGGGAGCCGGGGAGTGATAGAATATAAAACATATTCCTGGGCCTCAACCATTAGCTTAAGCTTTTGGTTGAGTTGGTAAGTCAATCAAAAAATTGCACTCCTTAACTTAAAATTAACACATACAATTCCCGTAAAAAAAAATAAATAAAAAAAATAAAAATTAACACATACAAGTATACAACTTTTTTTCCCGAGGAGACATATACAACTTTAAATTAGGAAATATTGCTAAAAATAATACAACCTTTGGTCCATTCTTTTTTAATAATACAACCTTTGGATTATTTTGTAATAATACAACCTTTAGGGGGTGTTCATTTTAAACAAGATAAAATCAAATTTTCGGTGGACTTTGAGGTTAAGAAAGGGGACGGGTGAGTTTTTCATGGTGGGGATGAGAAAGGATGGAATATCCCCTCCCCTTCTCCTACCTCAAAACTCACCGAAAATTCGATTTTATCTTGTTTAAAATGAACACCCCCTTAAGGTTGTATTATTACAAAATAATCAAAAGGTTGTATTTTTAAAAAAGAATGGGACAAAGGTTGTATTATTTTTAGCAATTTTTCCTTTAAATTATTATACATATCTTAAAAATTAATCTCTCTCTAATCTCTACACTCCAAATGTGCTTATTAGTAGTTTATCATGAAATATCAGTACAAACTGATTGATACGATAATATTTATTTTGTTCTAAATCTTGACACGACACATTGGCTTGCACGACCCGGCCCATGCCTAGCTCTAGTGGTGGTATACACTGAATGCCGGGAAAGCATTTTGTGCCATTGTAGTAGTTGTAGAGGGACGGGCAGTGATGATACATACCTTCATCCTCTTTGACTCTATTCTTTAACCCTTTCCCTTCACACATCAACTAATTCACAAACTTTGTACTTCGTGATTTATTCTAGTTATTGACCTATAAGAATACGTTTACAACATCATAGTGCAATGACTCAAACACTTAATTTAGAATTTTAGATCGAAAAAATAGATGCCAATGTGCTGCCATGTTGCTCCTGAAGACCAATTTTTCGGAATACTAAACAGTTGGATATCCAAAATATGCTTACACAACTTATCAATCCATTAAAAATTGCACCTACCAATATATATAAGCACAAAATTTTGTCTGTGGTATGTGCATTTATGCATACAATATACTTGGTACTTTTCTATTAAAAAAATTAAAAATAAATAAAAATCACACGGAGAACAATTAAAAGTTACTCCGTATTTCTATTTGTACTTATAATTAAGATTTCGACTTTCAATAAAACACAAATTTAAAAATGTGGTTAGCCACGCCGTGTAGATGGGGTTACTCGAGTCTACTCAATCAGGGGTTACTCATGGGGTTCAATCAAGGGCTACTCGATCGATCAGGGTTACTTGAGGGGCTACTTGGTTAGGAGTAATTCGAGTAACCCCTGACCAAGTAACTCGAGTAACCCTGGACACACAAAAAAATGCCCCATAAAAATATTGTACGTTTCATGAAATTGAAACTTCGTATTGGTGAATCAGTCCATTTTTGTTTTGCTGTATTCAATTATCTAATTTTCACTTATTTGAATTTATCTTTTTTTTTTTGACGAAAACTTATCAGATTAATAGATCAAACCCTAAGCAGATAAGGCACTTTGGGGATTTGGGTTTGTGGGGTAAGAGTACATACCCTACCACATAAAATAACCTCAAAGGGGGAATTAATCCACATATTCAACATAGAGTTGAAACTTGAAAGATACAATTCTTATCACTAAATTACATTTATACATGTATAAATTAGATCTTAATATGTTACCTATTATGAAACAATGCCATTAAAAATGATCACCACCACCAATATTTGTTGTGAATGGATAACCATGCCCTTACTATTTTACCATCTCATATCCTCCTCGATGACCCACCACCCATTTCGACCGGCGACAACCACCATTACCCTGACCGATGACACACCACATCACCCTCAATGACGACCCACCACCTTCCCTCGACGGCGGGAAGGTGGTGACTTTTTATTTTTTTTAATTTCCGACAAATGCGGTTTTCGAAGATCGTACTTGGTAACCGGTTTTGGGCTCCAGAACCATGCATTGTAAACGGTTACCACAGGCTCCAGTTACCGTGATAATGCATGGTACCCATAAGCCAAAATCGGTTACCAAATCAGTCACTAGGCATGGTAATCTTGAAACCGGTTACCAGCCACAGTAACCGGTTTTGGGCTCCAATTACCGCGATTGTCGAAAATAAGATGACTCATCACATTCCCTCGCCGATCAGGGTGGTGGTGGTGGTTGTCACCGGCCAGCCAGTGTAGTTGCGGTGGTTATCGCCGATCAAGGTGGTGGTGTCAAGGTGTTAGTAATTGCTGGCAAGAGGGAAGATAGTGGTGAAATACTAAAGGCATTGCTGTTTATTCACACTAAATGTGAGCGATTTTGAACTTTTGATCATTTTTATTGGAGGTAACACCCCATATTATTATATAGAGTATATTTTGTGAATTGCTAAATACCGCCAACAAAATTAATCAAACCGCCAACATTTCAAGTAAAGGGACAACATTGCCCTTACTAAAATCTTCCCCATATTCTTTCTCTTAACTTCATTCCGTGATTTCCATCCACCTCTTCTAAAGCAACCACATCAACCACCACCAATCACACCACTGGTACCACCCACGCTACCATGTCGACCACTACAAACCCACAACCACCGCGTCAACCACCACCATCTACACCAGATTGTCGAGAATAATAACAGTTAATCAATATAATTATCTACAACAATAGTAAAAAAATTAATTATAATTATTTTGTAATAATAATAACAATTAATTAGAATAAGTTTTGAATAAAAAAAATAATAAGTTTTTTTTTTTTTTTTTAAAAAAAAGTTGCTGGCTAACGACGCTCAAAACCAGTTGGCCGCCACCGGTAACTGGTGGTCAAAACCGATTGACCATCACGGTCAACCGATTTTGACCGTCGGTTATCTGTCGCGGTGAACCGGTTTTGAGCGCCGGTTACCAGCCACCGGAATTTAAAAAAAAAAAACTTAAATTCAAAACAAAAAACTAATCGACAAATTTACCTCCTTCCCCGGTTTCCATCCATGTCCCCACCGTCAACCACCGTCACCCATGTACGCGCCACCACCTCTTGAACCCGTTGACTGGTACGTCGATTGTCTCTGTGGTGGTGGTGGTGGTGGTTGTTTTGGGGGATCCTGAGGGGTTGTTGATGAGAGAGAAAAAAGAAGGAGGAGAAAGATGGGATTGGGTTTAGTATTTTAATAAGGGCAATAATGACATTCGCTTAAAAAGTTGGCGGTTTTGATAATTTTTGTTGGGGGTATTCAACACCTCCCTATATTTTTTTCATTCTTTTTTTTTTTTTAATGGCAACATTGATTTTCATAATTGCTAGTGCAATCTTATAAATTTATTAATGGCTAAAATTTTGGCGTTTTGTAACAACTAGCATAATAAATAAAATTAATAAAAAAAATACTCCATCCGTTTAATAATGCTAGTTCTATATACTATTTTGGATGTTTTAAAAAGATCTACCCATATTGTTCAATTTTTTTTGGAATTAATTGGTTGTAAATTAATGACATGACTCTAAGTAAGGAAATTTCTACCGTGAATTATACAATTATGACTAATTTTTCTAAAAAAAAATAAAAAAAAATTTAAATAAGGTAAATTAATTATGAATTATTTTATAGTTAAATGTTTGATTCCAAATATTTTTCTTTTCTTATTATATGTGATTGATTTCATATGAGACTTACATTATACAGTAAAACGGATAAAGTACTCCCTCTGTCCCCAAAAGAACGATCCATTTGACCTTATTTTAGTCCCAAAAAGAATGACTCATTAGCAATAAAATACCCATCAATTAACAACAATATTTGTGCAAAATTTGCTTTTCCATATAAAATTTTATTTTTCCATATACTTTTATTACTATCTATTTTTTTTTTTTTTGTAAACCTCATGTAAATTTATTTTTCCAATATACTTTTACTTTTTTTTTATTTAACTTTATTAATACTTGCGAAATTAACCAAAAGGATCGTTTTTTAGAGAGACGAAGGGAGTAGTAAATTAATACCGAACGAAGCAGTAAAAATTTTCAAAAAAGAATAAAAGTATATGCTGAAAAAGCGGGTCCCATTCCAAACTCCAAATAACTTAATAACACCCTATGCCCAACTGCCCAAGGGGCATGTATAGTAACCCAAAAGTCTAGAAAGTACTCGTACTCGTAGTAATTAACACAAAAAATTGAATAAATATACAATTGCTATACAATGTACATATAAAACGCCATTAGATGCGCAACTTTTTCCATATTTATATTCCATTAACCTTCTCCAATTCTTGTCAAAAAAAAAAAAAAAAAAAAAAACCTTCTCCAATTCACCATTAACCAGCTTTTATTTTCCATCTTTACTTTAATTAATTTCTCTCTCCTCTTCATCACATCACATCATATCATATACCGCCTAACCAAAAATATAACCCATCAATAAATTAATTCAATTCCAAACAAACCGCCTTTCTTCTTTCCTAAGAAAAAGGATAATTTAATTTTAATTTTTGAAAAAATCAACATCATCTTCTTCCTTTTCTCTTTCTCTCTCCTCAAACTTCCTCACTTTTTTCGAGGCTCAAATAAAGCATCCATTACCTCACCACCTCCCCAAATTTCACCATTTATTTATTTATTTTATAACCCAAAAAAAAAAAATCTCCAGTTTTTAAAATCACAAACAAACATTAATTTCCCAGATCTAAAAATTTCCCATTTTCTGATTTTCCCCCCTTTTTCTCTCTCTTCTTCCTCTCAGATCTGAACCCTAACAATTCCTTCCTTTCTCTCTCCTCTCTATCAATCTCAAATCTCTGCAACTTTTCCTCTTCATCAATGGTGGTTAACGCTAGGTCGTTGAAACGTATGAAGCGCCGTGTCACCGCCGAGTTTCCGGACTTCCTAAGTTTTCCGGCGCCGGGATCTGGCCAGAGAATCGCCGGAGCTCCGTTTAGGTCTAACATCAAGGCGTTTCTAGCGCGTCACGCGCTTCTTCCTCCGCCGTCTTCTCTCCTCCCTCACCTCGTGACGTGGCAGGTCCTCTTCCGCGCCGGTGACTCGCCGGAGTCGCCGGTAAACTCGTCTCCTCCGGTCGTTTGCGTCGATGTTGTCGAGGAAGACGTCGCCAGATCCAGATCTGTGTACTGCGACCAGTGCCGAGTCGTTGGTGAGTCAACTCGCCCGAGTCGTGTAAACCGACTCAGTTTCCCTTCGTTTTTTCTGTAACGGTTATTTTTTCCGAGTTAACTCAGCCGAGTTGACTCAGCGGGATATATGGGCCGGTGTTTCTGCATGCTTTCTGGGAAAAAACGGTGTCGTTTTGGGTCTCACTGGAAAGTGTAGTTATTTTGGGGGTGGGTGGAAACGGACAATAAAACGGTGTCGTTTAGTAAGGACAGGTGGCATTAAGGGATTGAGTTATGTGTGACTGGGCCTTACTTATTGCGTGATTGTGTAGTTTTTCGTACAAATACATTGGACCGTCATCATTAATTTACTTCCTTTTTCCTAAATTGCCCATGAAATTAATATTAATTCAAGAGTAAAATCGTAAAAACAATAATCAATTAATAATAATAATAATAATAATAATAATAATAATATTTTGATTTGGATGTTTTGTTTATCCAAAAATATTTTTCAGTCCACTTCAGACACTGTGGGGGCCATCTGGTCACACAATTGAGATTTTTAGGAATAATTTAGGTTAACCAGTACAAACAAAATCAATATTCAGTTTGTATAAAATTATAATATATGGTTTTTATATTCATAAAATATTATGTTTGTACTAAATATGTTTGTGTAATTGGTAATGTAGGATGGAGTGGGCATCCAGTATGCACAAAGAGGTATCATTTCATAATTAAAGCAGATGGGAACTCAATTGGTGGGTTTGTTAAGCCATGTCCTAAATGTGGTGATTCTATCCATCTTGCTGATCCTAGGTGAGCTACTTATTCTCATTTATTATTTTATTGTGTGTATAGCGTGTCGAAAAAGGAAAGTGATGTAGACGGGATTTGGTCGTAGTCTGCATTCATCCCCTATTTCATTATTTTCATATTGTTTGGTTTGCAGTTTCATTGTTATGTGATGTTATGAAAATGAAGGCAATACCTTCTTGAGTATTGTTTTTCATGTTATTATACAACTCTTTGTAGACTTGGAGTGATGAATAAGTGTGATAATGCTGTAATCAATATTTGAATATCTTATGGTGTTTGAATATGGTACTAGTTGATAACAATGTAGTAATTGAAATTTTATGATTGTTGACTTTGCTGTGTTAGAGTTTGTATTTCTCTTAATTGGTAAGATGTAAACAATTGGTTTATTTGTTTTAAAATTTTCTCACATTTTTGTCTGTTCTGTATTTGTTTACTTGTTGGTACTGTTGATCAAATTTGATTCTGATTATATAATTGATTATGGAACTGTGGAAGAAATTTGGGTTGTTGGTCCCTGATTTTTGTTAAGGCATTGTTACTTCATATTTAATCAAGAAGTTAACTGGAAAGCAGAAAATAGTCTTGTCTTGTGATTGGATTGTTGCATTTTTTTTATAAAGTTTTTGGCTCTTACTATATAAATGTATGTCTGTAGCAATGGAACACATATTTTGAATTTGAAACTGAAAAGATATATTGCTGAGTAATTTCAATAACAAAGTCGTAATTTGCTTCTTATAGGTGTAAGACATGCCAGCATGTGATGACTTCTGATGAGACTGAAGACTGGGTGTATAACCAGTTGGAGGACACTACTCATCTATTGCACGGTGTTGTACATGCTAATGGATATGGACACCTTCTTAGAGTCAATGGTAGAGAAGGTGGTTCAAGGGTCCTTTCAGGAACTGATATTATGGACTTCTGGGATCGCCTATGTAAATATCTTGGAGTCAGGTTAGGACTCTTGATTGTACATGGTGCTCTTACCTTTCTGTACTTTCTTGAGGATGAAAAATTTCAAAAATTAGAGATTAAAAAGTTTGCAATTACAATGAGCAATTTTCTTTTCCATCTTCCATTTGGGTATTCTTGTGTTTTTTTATAACTATAACCTATGTGATTGTTTGAAATTTGACATCAGTCCATTATTTTGTGGGGGTAAAAGTTGCGAGGATGGGAAAAAAAAAGGTAAAAGGAGAATGAAATGCATGAGTGTGGTGTTGTAGATAAAATCAGCAACAGAATTTTCTTTACATATAAAGAAGTGAAAAAAAAAGAGAGGGAAAGAACTATATAGGGGAAAAAGAATGAAAGAAAAAAAGCTGAAGAAAGAGATTGAAGGTGGGTGGGTGAGAGAGAGAGGGTGATGGGTGGTAAGGTGGAGATATACTTTTATTCCGGACCAAATATGCAAATTAATTTTCCAACATTTGTTGCCAAAATTAAACTTATTTTTTTTCTTCCTTGGCTGACAAAAATTCGAATGTTAGATTGTTCTATCTACTTGACTGCGTGTCACCCAAATTATCCTTGATTACTGTCTGTGCTCTTTTAAGATTAAATTGAATTTTTGATCTATAGTATATTTCTCTTAGGTAAACATAATGATGGTATATGAATATTCTAAAAAGACGATATCCACATAGCAATCTCAATATATAAGCACTCTTCTATAATTTTCAAAATATGCCAAATGTGGCTTGTAATCAAGTTAAATGGGGGTCACTCCCAAGTCTTTTAAGTGTAATTTCATCAATTATGTTTTAATGCCTACCTAGCTTCCTTATACACCTCTTAAGATCCTACAATGTTGTTTTTCAAACATCAACAGAAAGATCAGTGTCATGGATGTATCCAAAAAGTATGGGATGGAGTACCGGCTTCTTCATGCTATTACAAAGGGGCACCCATGGTATGGGAACTGGGGATATGAGTTTGGGTCTGGAAGCTTTGCCCTTACTCAAGATTCCTATAGAGATGCTGTCGAAACTCTCTCCAATTTGCCACTCTCTTTCTTCATCTGTCAAGGGAGGAAGCCACGCACTCACATTCAGGATTTGATATTTTTTTACCAGTCTCTCTCAGAATGTGAGCTTGTAAATATGAGGGACCTCTTTTACTTTGTGATGAGTTTGGTCCATGATGTGCAAAAATCATCCCTTGTCAGTGAAGATTCATTCAAAAAGCGTCGATCTTGTGCACCAGGGGTCTTGTGTGCATGGACGACAAGTGACATCAAACGAGTTGAGGCTGCTATGATCAGAGTTTTACGTGCAGTTACAGGTTCCAAATGGGTGAGTTGGCGTACCCTGAGAGGGGCTGTTTGTAAAGTAGGCTCTCCAGAGCTACTGGATTACTGTCTCAAGGAACTTGGTGGCAAGCAGACTCCTGAAGGAATGATTGTTCATGCTCGTTGTAACCCTAATACTGGTGCACTTGAGTATAGGTAAGCATTTTCCATTTTTCCTTCAATTTTTTTTTATGCTTCCAAATTATGTTGGTATTATTTTTCAAGCTGTGCAAACTGCTGAAGTCTAATTGAAATTCATCTTCAGGGTCGAGTCTGGAAACTTCTCTCTGTTAGGCAGTTCTGGGTGTACATATCCTTCTTCTCTGAACTACCCATCCAGAGAAAAAATTCTACAGGACATGAGATTTTTGTATGAAAATCTACTTCATCCCCTGACTATGATGACCTTTGGGCCCAAGGGAAGACGGGAGTGTGCAGTCAGTGCGGCATCAAGACTTCTTGATTGCAAGCAGTTTGTGAAGAACTACAAGCCTGAGACCACATTATCACCTGAGAATCCCTCTGCCATCTTGATATATTGCCAAGTAGAACTACCTGAGTACCTATCAGAAGAGCACACTATAAGGCCACCACCAGAACTCATTGTACTACCACTAAAGGCCACAATTTCTGACCTTAAAGTTGAAGCTTCGAAGGTTTTTCAGGAAGTTTACATAATGCTTAAAGGGTTTCAAGCAGAAGAGCTAGTTGACTATCGAGGTGTAGAGGATTCCACCCAAGTCAGGCTTTTGTTTCCTTCTCTCCTGACTGTGAGGATTCGGGGCAGGTGTCCCTTGAAGAACGGGCTGGGCCGTTTCCGTTCTGAAAGAGGGGTCGAGCGATGGACAGTGGAGTGTGGCTGTGGGGCCCATGATGACGATGGAGAAAGAATGTTGGCATGTGATGGGTGTGGTGTTTGGCAGCACACTAGGTGTGCTGGAATTCTGGACTCTGAAGCTGTGCCAGCAAAGTTTCTTTGCATTAAGTGCGGAGGCACGAGCCAGATGGCCATTGATAATGTAGGGTTGAACTGCAAGGATGAGTCTATCATGATCGGTGGTGGAGGTGGTAAAAGCTTGGCTATGCTGTTTGATGTACGTTAGGTTAGACCTTTTGGTTTTTGCTTTTTGCCCTTGTAAATTCCTTTTTAGGGTTTTTTTTCAGGCCGACGAGGAAAACATGTACATATCTTCAGAAGGGCCTGAAGAACACTTCAGTTGCAGTAGTCACTCTAGTCAGTAGGAATCCCTTTTAAATTTTTTGGGTTTAATTTAAGCTCCACTCTTTTTTGTAATTTGTAAATGCTATGCGCTCTAACTGCGCGGGATGGAGCTTTGTAGATACTGAAATGAAAAGTTAAAAAAATGACAAGAAAAAAAAAATTCTAACTTAATCAGCAGTTGATTTATTTTAGCTTCAACTTGGTAAAATTTCTGTATACTACCTTCATTAACTATTATTTGCAACAAAGGGGTATTGTTTGTGAGATATAAAATATTCCTTTGTTGCAAATAATAGTTAACGGAGGTAGTATTTCATTGATTGTATTCACTTTCTCTGTTTTAGAATACAGCCATACAGTGGTACTCTACTACTATGTGTGTCTGTACTCTGTAGTCTATACTATATCGCATATCATTGACCATTTAGGCCTTGTTTGGTTGCATATGGGAATTTACTGTTGTCTCTTTTGGGAAGCATTTAATACCTAAAATTATTACTCCGTAGAATGATTTAAGTTTTTTTTTTCTTTTTTTTTTTTTTTAAAAAAAAAAAACATTTATTCATTCTATTTTGATCCCTTGTACTCAAATCAATCATTGCAATATAGAAAGAGCATAGAAAATTTGATAAATCACCTAAACTTCAAATTAATTGGTGAAACTGTGAAAGTACATACGTTAACATTAAAAATATTTAATCCAAATAATAAGAACACATGAAAGTAAGAGTCGTTTACACACAAGCACTCCGTATTTTATATGGACATCAAACTATTCCCGACTCGTTGATTTATACAATAGAGATTAAGGGGGTGTTTGGTTCATCAAGTTGGAATGAATTGGTATAAAATCTCATACTCCGTACTAAACAGGTATGAATTCTAAAACCCATACTAATCCAAGTTGTTTGGTTTTATTGTTAGTATGGATTCTATCATTCATTAATACGAAATATACGGATTCTAAAACCTCTTGGGTATGAGATTTCATAACTAAAAACCTCATCCAAACAAAAAATTAATTAAATTGAATTACAACTCCATTCCAACTGATTAAACCAAACAACCCCCTATATCCGCGTAGATAGCACTAGTTGTATAAGTAACCGTACAAAAACAATATGGAACCAAATAGTATGGAAACCAGCTCATTTGTCCTTCTCAATTCTTCCACTTCATTGCTTTATTTTAAAGTTTTGACTTTATTTAGTTTTTCCACTCAACTATTGCTTAGCATATAATGTAACAACATTCATACACATCACATTAATATTTTTAAATCCTACTTAATACTTCTATATATTTATATATAATATTTTAATTCTTGTCTATTTCAAATGTTGTTTTTGTTTGGCACTAATAAACGTACAAAAAGCATAAACTTGGTCAAATGTTGTGCTAATCAAATGGTAATGATGATGTACTCTCACTAAAGTTTATTAATAATGTTATGGAGTATTAAATTGTTTTTCATTTAGGTCAATATGCTTAGCTTGTCATTCCTTTTGCATTGTGGCATTTTGGAGTGATGCAACCATATCACCATATGTTTCGTGATGTTTCTAAATTAATAAATTATAAGATTCATCTTCTTTTGCTACTTTTTGCAGTAGATGTTATCTAGACAATTCTAGGATGGGAGGAGACAATTAATAAACATTTATTATATTGATTTACTCGTAAATTGTTGATAAATTTCCAACTTAATACTGAAAAAAAAAGAAGTATATTAAATGCTTATATGCAACCCTTATAGCATTACCCTATATTAAACACATCGATCTTATGTGTTAAATTATGCATTGAAAACTATTTAATAAAAAATAGAAGTTAAAATTTAAAACGATCCATCTTCGCTCTCTCTCAAACTCTAGCGTTGGGTACAGAATATTGTAACTTGTAAGGCTTCCATCAATTTTCACTAAAAAATCATGGTTATTTTTGTGTTCTATATATTCTTCTGTTTTGTTGCTTTATATGTTAGATTAATGAACTCCTCCTTATTTTTCTGAGGAATTTTCATCCACCATTAGGAATTTACTAATTTAGGATAACTTTCTCTCCTTTCTTTGATTGGAAAGAGATTTATGATACATAGATCCAATTTTTACAAAGAAAAATTACTTTTAAAAGACCTAGTACGTACATCAAATTGAAAGGTGTAGTTCAATTTCTAATCTCAGACATGAACTATATGGTCCATATTATATCTAATATATATATGAAATTCCACTTAGGGTTGTTTACATTTATTGAACCGAGTTGAACTGAACTCAACTGAACTGAACTGATTGAAGCTGAGCTGAATTGAAATGAATATTTTATGAGAGAAGGAAATTAAGAGTTGAACTAAACTAACATGAAGTGAAATTAATTATTTTACTAATCTCACTACATGATATGTGTACATGTACCAGTACCACCACAAGTATATAGTTTTATTTATTATGTTTGGAAACTTGTCATTTCATCAAACAAATGTGAGACATTGGGTCAAATCTCACTAATCTCATTCATATATGAGAGAAAGAGAATTATCTACCCCTTTTAATATGATTTGACTCATTGCCTAAAAATACATCAAAACCCTAACAAATGTGCACCCTTTGTATGGACTAGCTAGTATAGAGAGGCTTATTCAATATAATTGTGACAAAAGTTTTCAGGTTTGAGCTTTAAAAATCCAGTATTACATTGATTATCATCATATATAAAAGTCACTGATTTTATTATGGAGTATTAATTTGAATAAGTTTGACTCTAAACTCAAAAATGCTTTTTGACATGTAATCGAGTATTTTATACATATATAAATCAACAATGCACATCAAGAAAATGTCTTTGTTCATGGCTTGAAGTTTTGCAATTACCCAAATTCCTAGTCACATTTATATATTTGGCGGGCGGTGGAGCATTATGAACCATTAACATCTTAAAATCTTAACCATGTTAACGTGTCTATTACCATGCAATTACATAATTTAACTAGGATTATCATGTTTTTGAACATCTCCCATTTTATCTTAATTAAGTGGAACCCTAGATTATGGTCCACTACAATCTTCCACTTTCATCATATTCTATATCCATTATAGTATGTCTTTGTACTTTTTTTTTTTCTTTTTTTTGCAACAATAAACCATTTTCCCACCCTCTATATATACATCTAGCTACATTCTTAAACATTTCATTCAAATACCACAAAATAATAATCTTTAGAGTAGTACTCCAACTTATAACCCTACCAAATAATAGTAATGTTACCATTATCTTCTAGTAACTCTTCCTTAAGCATTGCTAGGATGATGTTTCGATACGTTATCGGGGCAATGCTATTGATGGGGATGGTAGCTAAAGGGTTTAGGTTTGGAGTTGATGCAGTGTCCATGAATTATTATATCATGAGTTGTCCAATGATTGATGGAATTGTTAGAGATGCTGTTTCTAGGGCTCTTCAAGATGATCCTACTTTGGCTGGCCCTCTTTTAAGAATGCATTTCCATGACTGTTGGATACAGGTAATAATAATTATGCATTGTGCTTGATTAATTAACTATTAGTGCATATTATATGAAATTGAATGATCGATCTCTTTGAAATTTGGAATTATTTGTAAATGATTTGTTTTTTGTACGTAGGGATGTGATGCATCAATCCTTATTGACTCGACAAAGGATAATACAGCGGAGAAGGATTCTCCGGGAAATCTAAGCTTGCGAGGATATGAACTCATAGACAACATTAAGGATGAACTCGAGGATCAATGTCCTGGAGTAGTTTCTTGTGCTGATATTATAGCCATGGCTGCTAGAGATGCGGTTTTCTTGGTAATATAAGATAATACTTAATTTGATTTTCATTCTAATATTGGATCATACACCTTAAAAAGAGTAATTTATTTTATCTACGCTTAATAAAGATTGTTTTTTATATCTAACTTTATTTAAATTAGTAAAATGACAACTGACAAGGATAGTGTTACGCTCCATTGCATGAGCATGTGCCAAAATTGATGGATGAAGTGCAATTACTATCATCATGCATCATTAAGATATACTTCGTATAAAGCATGATTACTTTCTAATTTTAAAGTTTTAATTAATGTAGAGTGGTGGTCCAATATATGAAATACCTAAAGGAAGGAAAGATGGAAGAAGATCAAAAATAGAAGACACAATCAATCTTCCTTTTCCCACTTTCAATAGCTCCGAGCTCATTAGAGTTTTTGGACAACGCGGCTTTACTGTTCAAGATATGGTCGCTTTGTCAGGTACCACTATTCTTCAATTTTGACATCCTTGACACATTATTTCATTAAAAATTCTAGATGTTTTGTACTTTCTTTGGTTATACATACAAACCGGATCAGTTAAGTTAATATCTGTATTAAGTAAAATTTTAGAGAAGTATTCGAATTTGATATCTCAATCATGATGTGACATTATAATTGTTAGTTGCGCAATTGTTTTGTCCATTATCATCATCATACAACATGACTACATGTGTTAGAATGAAGCAATAACTTAATTTGATAAAGTTTTAAAACACGCTTACTAAAGACTACCTAAAACCTAAATTGAATTTCGCCTATATCATGTCTATTATACAAGTATTATAATAATAATACCAACCCCACTCACAAATCAGTGAATCACAATATGTTAATATATATAGTATGCAACATATTCCAATTTATCATCTAATCTTGTTTTATTCCTTGATTACTTGATGTAGGAGCCCACACATTGGGAGTGGCAAGGTGCGCTTCATTCAATAATAGACTAAGCAAATTCGATAATACACATGAAGTGGACCCATCATTAGATGCTAATTTTGCTAGTACACTTACTAAGACATGTAGTGCTGGTGATAAAGCAGAACAACCCTTTGATGCCTCAAGGAATGATTTTGACAACCTTTATTTTCATGCATTACAAAACAAGGCTGGTTTGCTTACTTCTGATCAAACCTTATTTGATAGCCCTAGAACTCGAGGCTTTGTTAATGGTTATGCTATGAATGAAGCCTTGTTCTTCATGGATTTTCAACGCGCCATGGTTAAGATGAGCTTGCTCGATGTCAAAGAAGGAGCTAAAGGAGAAGTTCGTAGAGATTGTAGGAAGATTAATTGATTTTGTTACGTACTTCTTCCATTTGGGACATGCCACGTAGAAACGACACAACAATATGAATAATACTATTGGTAGAGTTTGAGGGATTTCTTGTAATGTAAACTAGATATGTTGTGAATATGCTTTTACTTTTCTTACTTGTGTAATTACTAATTAGTGCTGTGCATTTTGTTTCAGAATTTTATGTAAGGTCATGCCATATGTAATTTAATATATTAGGTATGTATAGGTAAGATGAAGGTTTCAAGTGTTGATCCCTTTTGCCATTTTAGAATAACAAGTCATGCCTTTTTATGTCATGCATCATCTTATATTATATGACTTTAACAATTACCATCATTTTATAATAACTTATTAAAGTATCTTTTTATGATGCATAGTTTGATCAATGCATTTAATATTATAGTCAAATTTAACAATGATTAATAACCATCACACTAACTAGTATCATGTAAAAAAATGATGTAGGTAATTAATAATACTTCTTACAAGATTGATACATCTTTAAGCAAGATTTGACTAAGCATATTCAACTACACCTGACTCAAAATACCTTGACAACAAATGTATTGCTTTCGATCCAATGACTACACGATCTCTATGTTCACCAAAGATCAAACCATCTAAAGAAAGAGATTTTTAGAAATTTGGCCAACTACACTATCACTCTATAACTATCTCTAATCTGATAAGTCGGATACAACTCAAAGCAACAAACATGATATCTAAACAAGAATCAATAACCAGTCCTTTATAAGTTATAACCCGTCTAATATATCACAATCCTTAGTTCCTTACACCAAGCATACTCATCATCTAAATACAAAGCTAATTAATTATACGTACCTGATCTAAATAACCCGTTTGTCAACTCAACGAGGGGCATGAGAGCCATGAGGCCCCGGCCCAAGATATACATGATATAAGGCCTAATTTACTTGTCACTCTCCCCCATAAATTAAGGCCTCATTTGGTTGATATGAGAATTAAATTTCCATAGAAAATTGTATATTTCAGAAACAATTATTTCTCTAATCAAATTTCTAGCAATTTCATTAATTTGCTTGTTAGACAATTTGGGAATTCAAAATTGTTGAGTTTTGATTGACCAAAGGGATTAGAAAATTTACTTCCTTTGTTTTGTGGGAAGTTATAAAATTCCACTTCCTTCCTTTTTACTTTTATGTGTCAACCAAACAAATTTCCAGTTTATCAAATTTTATCAATTTCAACTTCCTCGATTTTATATTGTCCACCAAACAATCCTAACATTTTACTCCCTATGTTTTTAAATACTTGCTCAATTTCTCCATGCGTGGAGTTTAGGAGAAATCGAAGAAATTAATAAAATATGGAGGTAGTGGAATTTTTGGAAGAATAAAAAATTGTAAATAAAAACCAAAAAGTAGTGGAAAGAATTAAAGGTGAGATGATATAGTATTAATATTGTTAGGTCCACCTGGTGAGAGAAATTAATTAAATACTATAAAAGCTTTCTAAATAATAAAATAAAGCAAGTATTTAAAAACGCCCGAAAAAATAAAGTGGAACAAGTATTTAAAAACGGAGGGTACACTTTTATTCATTCTCCTCCTTTCCTCATTTCTCTCCTTCCCTTTCTCACTCTTCAGTGTTCACTCATCCACCCATTAAATTTCCATTTCCAATTTCCACATTTCTTGATCACCATCTTCGACTATCACTAGATCTTCAAGAGAGTGAAAATGGAGAAGAGCGACCAACCTGTTGAAGAAATGAAGATGCTTGTTGGTATGGAAGTTGAAGACGAACAATCTGCTGCTGTTAATTCTACTAATGATGTTAGCTCTTTCATGGATGAGTTCAATCGTTATTGCACTTTGTCCACCCAACAGGTCTTTAATTTTTCCATTTTGTTTTTCTTCATCTTAAAACCCTTGATTATGCGTATTATCATGGAATTTAATTTCATTTCATCTGCACTTAATTGTATGTTTTTTCCTTGAATTAGGGTTGATTTGTGTGCTTTATTTTAACTGTGTATGGATCGTAGCGGCGGGCTGATTTCTGATATGCCCTGGTGTATAGAGCCTGTAAGCATCTGATAATGTTATTTTTGGGATTGCAATTTGTAGCCGCTAGCATAATACCTTCCTAGTAAATTTGTGATTGCATTACAAATATGTGATGGTATGTTTGGATATATTGATTTCATTTCAAATTCTGGATTTGAGTCAATGTTGTTGTTTGATAAACTGCAAGAATTTGGATTTGGATTTGCTTCAATTCCAGGACCATTAAACATGGCTCAATTTGATAGAATTTCAAGTGCTCTGTGAAACCCTGTCATTTACAATTCACTTCCTTAGATTGACAAAAATTGATGGGCATGTATCCTCGTCTTTTCCAAAATGAACAAGTGGTCAACATTTATGCAATTTGCTTGTCTCCATTTTTGCAATCTTCTCTTTTTTAGTTGCTTTCTCTCTCCTCTGTAAGTAACAGAGCTTCATTTAAATGCATTTTTTCAATTTCTTTTCCATAATTTTTATAAATTATAAAGTCAACATCTTACGTAAAATTCCTTAATTCCAATTTCTAGAGTTTCCCAAACACATAAAATAGAATTTTAATTTCAGAATTTGGAATTCAAGAATTAAAATTTAGAAATAGAAATGAAATAAAGATAACCAAACACAACCTGATTGTATTCTTGGCATCTATGAAAAATAGGCAAGTTATAAGTCATTTTCCTCAACTTTGCTTGTTTTTTTGTGACTATGAACACTTTGCTTGTTTTTTTATGTGACTGTGAACCTAAAACTTTGTTTCTTCCCTCTTACTTGTAATTTCAAACCTTAAAACACTTATAACTAGCTATTAATGGTATGTTATGGGTAAGATTGAGTTCATTTGATAACAAATGAACAAATGAGGAAAATAGGCAAAGTAGAAGTTATTTTGGCCTAATCTACTTCTTTTTCCATGAATATGAACCTTAAACTTAGTTTATTTCCCCTTGTATTTTGAAACCTTAAACTTAGTTTATTTCCCCTTGTATTGGTATGTTATGGGCAAGAAGCCAAGAATGAGTTCATTTGATAAAAAATGAGGAAAATAGGCAAAGTAGAAGTCATTTTAGCCTAATTTGCTTGATTTTTCATGAATATGAACCTAAAACTTAGTCTCTTGCCCCTCACTTATAATGTCAAACGTTAAATATGTTACAGGTAATAAGTTCATTTGATATCAAATGTGAAAAATAGGTAACGTAGAAGTCATTTTCCCCAAATTTACCTCTTTTTCCATGAACATAAACCTTCAACTTAATTTGTTGGTAGTTATTTTTTTTATCATCTCATTTATATGTTGCAGGAGACCCTCCAAACGAAATTTGAAGAAGCAAACAATCAAGGGATTCAAAAGAGTCCGAATGAGTTGTATTGGGAGATGGTGGAGCGGTACACGCCTTCGATTGTTGAAAAATTAGAACAGATGGTGCAGGCTATGCGGATTGAAATGAAGGCCAAGATGCAAACTCAATTGGCGGCCCATTTGGCCGAACTGAAGAGGAGAAATAAGGAGTTGATGGATGAGACGTTGAGCCGCATGCCCAACGCTATGCGGACTGAAATGGAGGCTGAGATGCAAACCCAATTGGCAGCCCATATGGTCGAAATGGAGGTTGAGATGCAAACCAAATTGGCAGCCCATATGGCCGAAATGGAGAGGGGAAATAAGGAGTTGATTGATGAGATGTTGACTCGCATGTTCGGAGTCAGGGACCCCAACACTTTTTCTACCATTCTTCCTCAGCATTGAGACCCTAGAGACAACCCGGGTAGTGGCGGAAGCTAGGGTTCCCCAAATATTGTGTAGCTTAGCTAGTTCTATCCTTTGTTAGGTTGTGTAGTTTTTTGCACTGGTATTTTACACTAGTAACTCCAGTTTCTGTATTTTGCTTGTACATAATTTCCGCAGTAATTTCTAATGCGTATTTTGCTTAGTCTATGCATTTCAGAATTTTTAGAATGTGTATTTATGCTGGCCAAAAATAGGTTATGTTATGTGCAGATATACAAGTTGAATAGGAAACAAAAGAGGGGGGGGGGGATCCATCAGAAACAATTTAAAATTCGTCATAGATGAAATATTCTCTCGCAAATTTCCAATGGGATATAAATACCATCGAAAATTGCCACATTTCCGATGAAATTTATCCGTCGAAAACAATGGCCTTTTCGACGGATTTTCGGAGATTTCTAATGGTTCCATTGGAAATTCCGCCAAAGAAAGGCTTTTAAGCATGCTTTCTAATGGATACTATTGATATTACGAAAAGGTTGTTTATGAGAACAATTTTTTGATGGAATTCGTAGGAAAGCTTTTATTTTTTTCTTTCTTCTGATGGAATATCTGGTTTTAACTTTTCTCTTTTAGTAAATTATTGTAATGTAAACTAGCATTTTGGCCCGTTCGATGCACGAGTTCATATTAAGGTTATTTCATATGTAGGTATTTTTTCAGTTGTTGAAACTTGTGATATGAAATACGAACTAATTGTTTCATTGCTAAAACTTAAAAGGAAATAAAGAATGAGGGTAGAACTGGGGAAAAAGATAAAAGAATTTAGTTACACATATATACATGAAGAGTATAGGATATGAAATGACATATTGGTTTAAGTTATATTTTAAGTCTATTAGTTGAAAAGACAATTTTTATATAATTCAATTCATATGTTTATGTGATGTATATTAATTGGTTCAACTTTATTTTATTATGATGTAAATGAAACACTTCATTTTCTTAATTAAATTTGCAAGTTATAGAATGTATAAAGACTTAAACTAAAAGATTAAAAGGGGTGACATGTGTCATGTGTGGTAGTGAGTGACTTGTGATGACATGTGTCATATGAAAAATTATGGTTTGTGTTTTTAAATACTAAAATATAGATTAGATTTGTTGTGAATATGCTTTGACTTTTCTTATGTAATTAGTGCTATGTATTTTGTTTTAGAACTTTATATAATGACATTCATTGTAATTTAATATAAGAAAAATGAAAAAGAATAATCTCACCTTTGTCATTTTTACTCAAAACAATGCCACTTTTGAATAATCTGAAATCAATCCCATTTTTGACCCCCATATGCTCAAAATAATCCCTTGACTAGTTTGTCATATTGGTAACCGATTGAAAGGATAACTTATCACGTGTCATTTTATTGACCCTTTTTTCTATAATTATTTTTAAAAACAAAATTAAATTTTTTTTAAAAAAAATCTACCCCACCTAGAGTCAATCTCCACTATCGGAGCATCCCTCGGAAAAATTGCCAAACTAAGCGTTTTT